AGTTCATTTTTTCTACAGTCTTTTGATATTAAATAATTTATAGAGTTAATTAAATCCTAGCCCCGTTTTTGTGCGATAAAAATGGGTGCTGACAGTGGCGGCACCCAAAACAAAAAGGGATGAGAAATTCTCCTGCTAAACCACCACCAAATAAAAGGAAGAAAGAAGCTACTTTACCACTACCACATGAAGAGGAAAAATTCAGATAAAGATGAGGACCCTACATTTTATGCGCCTTATTTAAAACCTAATTATATAAGGAGTTATCAAGAAAATTCACCAAACACAACATTTACTGTATTTATACAAAGCATTAAAGAAGAGGTTAAATTTGGTAATAAAAGTCAGTTTACTTAAATAATTTATTCAGTAGATATGTAAAAGGAGTCAAGGAATTGAGACGAGTAAATGCACTAAAATATGCCGTAATATTTGACAATGCAAAAAATGCAAATTCACTATTACGTGATTCAACCTTTTTAAATGTTCAAGAATTAAAAGCATTTATCCCCGCATCGACAACTGAATGTACTGGTGTTGTAAAGTTTGTTCCCACTGATCTCAGTAACAAACATTTATTTAATAAATTATCTTCTCAACAGGAAATACTTTCAGTGAGGCGATTTATGAAACGGTCCGATAGTGGAATGATTCCACTTCAGACTGTCTCTATAACATTTGCAGGTAACATTTTGCCAGAATATGTAACGTACGAGCTATGTAAATTTAAAGTCGAAACATATATAAAACCTGTAATGCAATGTTATAAGTGCATGAAATTTGGACACACTACAAAGTTCTGTAAATGAGATATGGTTTGCTCAATTTGTACAGAAGGTCATAATTATAAAGAATGTACTAATGTTGAGAATCCTATCTGTGTAAATTGTAAAGGAAACCATACCGCAGTTTCCAGACTTTGTCCAGTTAAAATTCAAAAAATACTTGAAAATAAAGAAAAATTATAAACAAAAACAGTACCCTAAGTTCACATTTTCCTAATCTGAACTCGAGTTTTGCTAAAGCAGCTCAAAGTTACACACCTAAGAGAAAAAGAGAAAGATTTTATTTCAGAAGTTATCAATAACGATTTAATTTTAACAGCTTTAGTACAAACATTAACTTCCCTTTCAAAAAAAGACACTAACTTACCTGTTAATACTTCTACAATCAAAGAAGTATTTCTTAAAAACATCAATCTATAATGGATCAGGTTATTATAGATTCCTTAAATATTGTACAACATAATATACAAAGTTTAAGACCAAAGCTTCCTTTAGTCACACATTTACTTGCTAAACATAATATTGACATCTTGATTTTAAATGAAACTTGGTTAAAAAATACAGATACAGTAAATATTAGAGGTTATAAAGTATATCGTTGGGATCACAATGTAAACAAAGGTCATGGTGGTGTTGCCGTCTTTTATAAAGAATTTTTAAAATGTTCTAATGTTACCACCCAATCAAATGATAAAATTCAAACTGTTGCAATTAAAGTTGAAATAAATTCTGGGTTCTTAAATATTTTAGGATGTTATTGTCCTCCTCGAAGAGGGCGATTCCCTGTTACATTATTAAAAAATATTATTCTTTCTCTTTCTTCTCCGGTATTAGTCATGGGTGATATGAATGCACATCACACTATATTTGGATGTCAAAGTAATCAAATTAGAGGAACACAGATCTACGACATGCTAGACGAGATAAATTTATGTGTTTTAAATACTGGTGAAAGTACCACATTAAATCGTCCTAATCAAGCCCCATCTGCTATTGATGTAGCTTTTGCCTCTCCTGTCATTGCTGGTTTATGCGATTGGTCTGTTTTGTCAGATGATACTTTGGGCAGCTATCATTTTCCAACTTTAGTTAATTTATACATAACACCACAAATTTATGAATATGTGGAACAACCAGAAAGGTTTATATATAAAAAAGTAGACTGGAGCTCTTATTCAGATTCATCTTATAAATGTCTAAATAATTTTGGTTCAATAACAAATCCTATATTAGCATACGAACAATTTTGCACAATAATTAATAATTTAAAAGTTGAATATATACCAGTTATTAAACCTAAGTCGAATTGTGTTAAAAGTCATATACCTGTACCCTGGTGGAATCAAAAATGCATCGAAGCTGTAAATAGAAGTAGATTTGCTTTGTATAATTATAAAAAATATCCTTCAATAGAAAATTATATTGTATACAGAAAAATTGATGCAGAAAAGAAACTAATTATTAAAGAACAAAAAAGAAGTAGTTGGATTGAATTATGTTCCAGTTTTAATAGACATACCAGTATAGGAAAAATTTGGAATTTTGTTAAAAGATTTAATCGTATAAGACGGAAAAATGCAGTAGGTGATGATTCTTGGGTAAATGATTTTTTAAATAAAGTTGCCACTAACAAAGAAACTGAAAACGTTGAAAATATAAAAGGATATTTTAAAATGAATGATTTAAACACACATTTAATAAAACCATTTACCTTTGAAGAGTTTATTCTTGCTATGAACAATAGAAAAGATACTACTCCGGGACTTGATGATATACCATATTTACTTATTAAAAATCTTCATGTTAATTGTAAAATGAAATTACTTGAAATATATAACAATTTATGGGAACATAATTTAATACCCGACTCTTGGAAAACTCTAGCAATTATACCTGTTTTAAAACCTGAAAAGGATCCGTCTTTAGCTGAATCATACAGACCGATTGCTTTGTCATCTTGTATGGGAAAGATTTTTGAAAATATGGTTAAAAATAGATTAGAAATGTACGCAGAAACTAGAAATATTATACCTCCATTACAATATGGTTTTTGTAAAGGAAAAAGTGCAATAGATAGTCTTCTAAAATTTACAGGTGATATTAAAAATGCTATGATATGTAACTTACCTCTTATTAGTGTTTTTTTAGATGTACAAGGAGCATTTGACAATGTAGATCTATCAACTCTCGTTCAAATTCTTAATTCATACAACATACCAGGTAAATTTTCAGAATGGTTATTTAAATTATTTTATGGAAGAACAGTTTTTGTTCGATATAATAATAAGCTTTATGGTCCGAAATTAGCATTTAAAGGTGTAATGCAAGGCTCTACATTGTCTCCCCTCATATATTTACTATATACTGCGGAAATTCACCGATTTGTAAATTTGAAAAATGTAAATATATTGCAATATGCAGATGATATTGTTATGTATTCTTCTAGAGAAAATATTTTACAAATACAAGTTGACCTAAATCTAAGACTTAGAGAACTGTACAAATATTATAAAACTAAATTGAAACTGGATATTAATCCCTATAAAAGTTCAGTTATGGTCTTTAATAGATGTAATTCTTTGTACAATCTAAATATTAATTATATAAACAATGTAAACATAAATATAGTCAATGAAAAAACATTTTTAGGATTAGTTTTTGATAGCAAAATGTCATTTTCATCTCATGTTACAAAAATATTGAATAAAATGGATAAAAGTGTCAATATTTTGAGATACTTAGCTGGTGTTAGTTAGGGTATGGATCCCAAGTTACTAAATATGTTGTATAAGTCCATTGTTAGAAGTCATTATGATTATGGTCTGTTTATTTATGGAAATTGCATAAACTATACTCAATTAAGAAAAATAGAGGTAGTACAAAATAAGGGTCTTAGAATCATAACAGGAGCAATGTGTTCGACTCCTATTAATTCTTTAGAAATTGAATCTGGCATTCCTCCAATTCATGTAAGACTTAATTATTTGATGGAAAAATATTATTTAAAAATTTTTGCAAATAATACACTGAGTAATATATTAAAAAATAATAAAATTATACAAATTGATAATGAACTATTAAATGAATTTGTTAATATGTATCAATGTGATAAATGGTCTTACGGCTCACTAGATGTTCAAACTACAAAACCTACAATAGTACAGGAGAGAGTGATGGATAATAATGAATTTATAATATACACCCAAACATATAAACCTGATTACAGAAAAATATTTACTGATGGATCGAAATCTGAAGACTCTACTAAAGCGGCATATTTTGACTCCTTTACTAAAACTGGACAATGCTATGTACTAGATCAACATTCATCGGTTTTCACTGCGGAAGCATATGCAATTTTTAAAGCTTTGAAATATGTACAAGACATAGAAAATTCAAGACGATTTCTAATAATAACGGATTCTCTAAGTGTATTGACATCCTTAGATAATTATAAAATAAGCTACAAAGATAATTTATACATTTACTTAATAAGAGAAATTTTATATGACATGAAATTGTACAAAGTTATAGAGTTCATGTGGGTTCCATCTCATGCTGGTATTACTGGAAATGAAGTTGTAGACAGAATGATGAAGATTAATGAACTGGATTGTCATTTGGATTTATCGCCAGTGCCAATAACTGACTACAATACATTAATTAACAGAAGGATGTTTAGTAATTGGAATAGAAAATGGGCAGAAACCAAAATGATAAAAGGAAAATGGTATGCTGATATACAGAAAGAAATTTTTGGAAAACCATGGTATTTCAAATTACAAGAACCATCTAGAAGATACATTACAACGATTAATAGAATTCGTATGGGACATGGGCAGTTTCCGGCTCATTTACATAGAATAAAATTGAGATCTTCTTCAAATTGTGACTACTGTACAGCAGAAAATGCGGATCTACAACATATTATAATGGAATGTCCAGCATTTGGTTTGCAGAGACTTATTTTGATAGATGGCTTAATAAGTTTATATAATAAAAAAGAAGTACCCCGCCTCTTGCCATCTATCCTACAAAATACAGAAAGTTATCCATTTTTATACGAGTTTATACACAATACAATAAGAACGCTATAGATTATAACGCTAAAGATATAGTTAAATGTAATTGTTTGGCTGAAAGGAGATTTCCAAGGCCGTAAAATACTTAATAAAAAAAAAAAATGTTTTTCTGGGTGTTGTAATGTAATTTTTTTTGTCATCTGTGGCTGTCATTGAGTTTTGGTTGTGTATTGTGTTATTATTATTAATTTATAATAAAACATAGAATTATTAATTTTGATTTGATGTTTACGTAGACTTCGAACGAACAACCGTTTTAAACTTTTTATGTTGTGAAAAATATATTAATATTTAAAATAATGTCCAATAATTCCATGGGCCAGGCTGCTAACATACCGACCATGGGAACAATAAATCAAGGTGCGATACAGTACGTGAACAATCCATTACAAAGTCCTCAACTACAATCGAGTTCAATACAAAACTCGCCTTCACAGCATAGCCCAATGGGTACCCAAGCACAAACTAGTGCTAAACCATCTCAAAGTGGTGCTGGAGATCAGACCACTCAAGTGAGTATATTCTTATAATTATTATTAAAGTGACAGTCTGTACGTTGTATTCTCGGCTTATTCAATTTATATATAATTTAGCAAATAGTATGATATATATATATATATATATATATAATATTTTTATGCAGATTAAGTACAATCTCAGGATCAGGGAAAATTTAAAAGTAGCAAGAGTTTCAAATTAATGTCTTTAAATAATTAAGCAATTCTATTGAATGAGTGACTTTCAAATTCAAGTAACTTAAACTAAAATCAAATAAATTACTACTATAAACTAATGAGTGATGAATGTACAGACCACTCATTAGTTAATTAGATAGGTTAGATAAATAATTAAAATGATAGAGAGAAAGCTGGGAGTTCAAACTGTATGTGCATTGGCCCAAGCATTCTCTTTTCCTAATTCAAGGACTCTACTTTTATTTATTTATCAGTATCAATTTATATTGTGTTTGAAAGTATAAAATTTTCAATGGTAATAAATAGAGAGATCAAAGTATCCAGTCTTCTATATTATGTCCATTACAATATAAAATAAGCCTTTATTCAGATAGTACATTTTTTTTTTACTTTATTAAATAATAATTACTCATATTAAGAAATTGTATACATTAGTAAAAAATTTGTATATAATATAAATATTTTTTTTACAAATAAATATGTAAACATAATGATTTAAAAAGTTGCAATAATTTCAGCTTCTCAGCCGGCCTCGTTTGCAAGAGTTAGTGAGGGAGATAGATCCAACGGTCCAATTGGACGAGGAAGTGGAGGAAATGCTGTTACAGCTAGCTGATGACTTCATAGACACAACTTTAAATGCATCTTGTGCATTAGCAAAACACAGACATGCTCCCACTGTGGAACTACGAGATGTACAGTTGCATTTAGGTAAGTTTTAAACATTTACAGATTGTTTTCATATATGACTTTTTATTACAAATAATTAATCATATTATATTACTATACTGACATTAATCAGCATGACTATCAGTCTACTTTATGGTAAGTAGCATCTATCATTTAAATAAATACCACTTTGGACATCTCTTCACTAAGTGATGCTAATGCAATATATGAGTTTTGGTAATTGCTGATACTGAAATGATGCACTCATTTGCTGGCAGACTCCAAATGGAGGGTGACAGGATGTGCATGCGCAAGTCATGTTAGTACTAGCCTATTGTTGCAAAATCTGTAGAAATTAACAATGTGGGTTTTCCGAGAGAATGGTGTAGAGAGTTGAGCCTGACACAGTACTTAGTACATTGATAGCAATGGGAACTCTAATAATCCTATTTTATTCCTCCTCCATTCTCCTATTTTAGAAGTTCTTCTCTTAAACCGGAATTGAGTGGTAGGACTCAAATATTGTTTAGAAAACTAACATGCATAATTGGTTAAACTAAACATACAAGAATAAATGGTCTTAAGTTCAAGGATCTAAATAAAAAATGGGTGGTTTGGGCTTAGTTGAGTTTGTTATTTATTATTATGATAGGTATTCCTCTCAACTATAATCAGATGTATTTGTCACTTTCAGAAAGACAATGGAATATGTGGATTCCTGGGTTTGGCAATGATGAACTTCGACCATACAAACGCGCTGCAGTCACAGAAGCACATAAACAACGTATGGCTCTCATACGGAAAACCATCAAGAAATATTAATTTGACTTCTAATTATGTAAATAAAAAATTATAAGATATTACTTTAAAATTATAGGTAATTTGTTTAGTTATCTTGTAAATGATTGTGTTTTCCTAACTACAATTGGGGGAAAATCATTATCATTTGTTGAAAGTTACTTCAACTAAATAAATACGGTAAAAGTACTATTAAATTAGATCAGTATATAAGGTATATAACATAAGGAAAATTTGTGTAAGTTTAATATTTGTTACTTTGTCTTTTTATATATTTCATGAAGTAATTTTGTGACAGTACAAAATAATTTTTGTTACAGGACAAAATTAACTGCTATTACAGTAGTTATTGAAAATATAAGCCTTTCCAATTCATTTGTTTTACTTGTTTTCATGTTTCTTCCACCATAGATTGAGAAATATATATTAACCAAAGTCTGTCTGGTGTCGTCCAGATTTGAAAAGTTGTAAATTGGAGTAGTCCACAGACCACAATGCTTAAAAAACTAATAATACCTCTAACTGTACCTATAACACAAGCTCTGCTAACTTGGGACTTAGATGGCGCTGTGTGATCGTCCTGGGTTATTATTTACATTACTGTGCCATGTAGTGTATGAATGTGCATAAATTTAAAGTAATGGATTACAGATATAAGAAAACGAAAGTAGATTTTATCATGTAATATTTTATTTAGTCCACATCACTTAGATTAGATATATCTGAAAAATCATCATCGTCCATTAAGAATTTATCTAAGGAAATCCTTTCAGCTCTCAATTCAGTCATGAAGAGTTTTAAGCTTTTGCAGAAATCCCAGTCATTAGCTTTGAGGCGCCTGAAAAGAAAACGCGTATTGTTGAAATTTTAGCAATAAAAAGAATTTTTTTTTTAACAACTTTAAAAAAATTTGAAATAAGATATGAGTACTCAAATTAATGCTATAAATGGAAGGTGTGTCGGTCTATCTTTTCTCAGCAATACGGCTGAATCTTAATAAAATTTGACTCTAGGCGAGTGGTACTAAAAAAAAATTGAAGCAGACGAAAATAATTACAATAACGTATAATAATTACAAATTTTAAATGACGCCCGAAAAAAAAAACAATAAAATGGACATCATCTACATTACGTCAGCTTTTAAAAAAACGAAGACACGTGTCTGTCTGTAGCATCTTAGTCACAGAGTCACCTCTATTTTTGCATCATGAGTTAAAAATGAGAAATGGCAGTAAACAGAAAATACTTACAATTTAGCCTCCTCCATTTTGAGTTGTGTTATATGACAGAATGCTTTGGCAATTGTTTTTATATCTTCGGGGTCGGGGTTTATAAGGGCTAATATATTCATATTTCTGATTGGTATCTGAAAATAACAATATTCTAATTTCAGAAATCGTAATTGTAATAATCTAATAATGTCTAATAATGCACTGGGTTTGATAGGTTTTTACCAGAAGTAGACTCTAAAAAGTCGTCTGCGTTAGTACCTCAGTTTCGTAAGCTGTTTCGATTGTAGACAGTGAAATTACAGGAAAAGTGGCAGATATCATGCCTCTTATATGTATCTATATCTTTAGAGATATCAATGGATGAGTGATATTACGGGCGTCACGATATAACGTGACACGTAGTGCTGTAACAAGTATACAGGCGACGGTTACCACTCATTACCATCACCTCCTTTGCTATTCTAATTACATAAAAGACAGGGCGATTTATAAGTACGATGCAACATATGGTTAGTAGTAAGGTCGTCAATCTCATAGGCTACATTGTTGGTAAGGCCACTAGTTCACATTAGTGATGGGCTAATGGATGTCTTTCTGCTAATACTATCACATCCACCGATGGACGAAAATTAATGAAATTTGATGTGAAATAGTAACACGAAAGTGCACGACGTGTATTAAACATCATATTTAAACATGTATTAAACATCATATTTATATTTATCATCATATTACAGGTATAGACAGATTTGTAAGAACTAATAATAGAAAATGACTGTAGTTTGTAGTTTCGTTAGTACCATATTAATATTTTAAATGCAACATTAGATTACATTTCCTTCGGTCCTTTTCACGGTTGAAACATTGAAATTTATAGTAAAAATAGCACAAAAACAAACAGGCTATTTTTACTTTATTTATTAAAAAAATGTGTTTTACACATAATTAATTTGTGGTTTCATGTGATGTCAGTCCACTCGTTGCAATTCAGTCGAAAACTTGGAGAAGTAAATAATAATAAGATTTATTTTCCATTCCATTATTTGTATTCACAAATTTAGAATTAAAGAATAATTTTATGATAAACAAATACCTTTATTTCCCATAAAATTATTCTTCAGAGTTGCGACAATAAACAGTTGCTAGTTGTTTTTTTTTAGTGCAAGTCAATATAATATATTTTATGTCATTTAAGTGAATCCTATGATTAGCTTTAAGCCTTTTATATACTATCAATAAATACAAATTGTAACACTGTTGGTTTCCAATAAATGAATGTTAAAGTTTTTACCTTAAAACTTCTAGATATGTTCTCCTCGGTTGCGTAAGTTATACTGAACATATCGTTTAGAATAGTGAACTTCTGGTTTCCGCAATTAGTGTCACTTGAGAATATAAAAGTTCTTCTAAATTGAAAATATACATATGGATCTTCTGAATCTGACAAACTGTTGCGTTTTTCTTTATAAATGCCATCTACAACTAGCATCATAAGGCTTGACTGCAAGAAATTGTAAATAAGAATATTATAACAATGTAAAGTAGAAATTGGGATTAAATATAGATAATTAATGCACTATGTATGTATATGCAACTATAGTGTTGCGGTACTGAAATGATATAGGAAAGTGATTTCTGGTGGACTATACTTTTTTATTTGACAAGAAACGGTAATCATATATAAAGACTACATTGTAGAAATATAGAGGTAGGTACGTCACAAGTACGAAGGGAGAATAAGAAAATAATAAAGTACTTCGCACTTTATTATTTTTTGATGTATAAAATAATGCTTTCATTTCGAAACTAATCCTGACATATTGTGTGTTGAACTATATCATGTAAATACATAGAAAACACCCAGACCGATACAAACAATCACACTCATGAATACAAACGTTTGTACCGTGCCAGGATCGAAACCACGACCATCGGAGGTAAAGCGGTATGCTTAACCGCTAGACTACTGAGGCCGTTTTAATAAAAACAGATGTTGACCGTCCATCTCCCAAACTCCTGTGAAAATACTAAAGTTTCGATTTTGGCTTGGCCCATGAACTATATTATACTCACAGAGGGGAAAGTAGATTGTTAGTAATGTGGACTCATGACCCCATTACTAGCAATGTACCATGTCAGGTTTTCCTCCACGCGGCTCCCCCTGGAAACCATCGTGATAAGTTCGCGGTGAGGTTGCCACGATGGGCTAACTAACCTGACGTCATGTTCATCTTATCATCCTCCACTGGTGCCCCGTCAGCGTAAACCGTTAGCGCAGGCGGGTGCTTCATTCCATTATCAGCCATAAAAAAAAATACTCACAGAGAATATAGGTACATCGATACAAAACGAGCTGAGATCATGAACTGTTAGAGGAAAGCTGTTCAATGTACTGTAAACAGAGTTTACAGTGTAGTAATACTTTTTATTGTTCATAACTAAATTCTTCTTATCGGGATTTGCTACATTTCGTGTATTAGTCTTATAACAGGGATCTAAATTTAATTCCTCTGTACCTGAAAAAAAAGGTTAAATTATAACCAAGACTTACCACATACACTGTTAGATGTGTAAATTACGATATTGGATAGTATTTCGCGTTCCTATTGTTGTTTGGCATACCTCTTTGGCAGTACTGCTTGCTGGCCGCTTATAAGATATATGACTATTACAGACGGATACGACATATACAAAGACTTTCAGGCAGGAGTTGGCCTTCAGCGGCTCCATAAGTCCTTCCGCAGATTTGGAGGGCCATCTGCACTCGCCCCCGTCCGGTGAAGATAGTAAATGCCAGCTGTGGCCAAAAGCATCAGAGTAGTCCGAAAAAAATATATACGAAGACGACTAGATATTTTATAATCAACAAACAAGAACTTGCTTTTATTCAATATCGACGACAATCCTAAAAGAAGGCGATCAGCAGACAGTTCATATTTTAATATTGATGAACACAAATATTTGTTTTTGTGTAGGTTTATTTCTCAATAGCGGACAGGTCCGCTACTTTAAGAATATTAACGTGTAAATATTTATTAGTACTAAATTTTTTCAGTAATAACATAACTAGGGCTTATCATATTGTCAGACGAATATTATTTTTATTCACCCTTCGCCTGTCCTTGTCACAGCTGTTCATATTTGAGAAACTCACCTGTCCCTAGTCTGAAATCATGTTATTTGCAATTTTACACTAATAAATAGAGTGAAAACTCTTTAATAAAACAATTTAAACCTTATGCAAGTACACATAAAGTTACAAACATTTTAACCTTCGTTAATTGTAAATATTTTGTTTTAAAATACACATTACATTCTGAAATGTGAGGTGACTAAATTTTGGAATCTCTCCTTGTCACACTTACTTTCTCACTCCTTCAACATGTGACGTAATTTATTGATGGCCCCCTACCTCTTTTTAAGTGGAGTATCTGGGGCTTTTTTTTTTATTTTTTTATTGGGTTGGCTGGGCTATTACCGCGACCTACATAGATCTATTGATCCGGCTCTGGCTCCTTACCTACCATCAAAGGAAGTCGATATAGTCAATACTGCATCATTGTCGTAGAATGATTTTATTTTGCGCGGTTTTTTGTCATAATGCGAATAGTACAAAGTTATAAATTTCTCTACAACCATTTTGCAGTACATATCATTTGATGCTATGTAATTCCTGGAGAAACGAAACGTGAATCCGGGTTCACATAGTTTTATTCCGTCCTGAAAAAAAAAACGGTTACATTTTTTTAAGACACACGCGTAACAGTCAATTTAAAGATTTTTTACGGTGTTATGCAACCTCCTTCCTTTGAATTGATAGAAAACTAGCTATAGCTTAAAACTTCGTAAAATGTTCCGTAAATTTTATTTATTGAAATATTATTTAGAGAAATAAAGCTAGCAAAAAATATATTTAGATAAATTTTTTATTATCCATAGTTAAAGGTTAACTTACGATTTCAGTCACTCTTGGAAATTTGACAATAAGTTGCCTTACATAGACATCTGGGTCCATATCCTCGCATACTGGGTTCCCTTCTAACCATATCTTTTCTAACTTACTGCTAGATCTGTGCAAGTTAACAAGAGACATGATCTGCAATGAAACAACCAAGAAAAAATTATAAAACCATGTTCACTCCATGCTTAATTGCATTATAAAGAATTATATGAAAACTATCTTTAAATCTGGTACTTCTTATTTGGTAAACGCATCAGATGTACAGAAATTAACAGTTAAAATTAGCATCATCAGTTAAAGTCTCATAAGTTAACTTACATTGTTGTAACTTAAATTAATACCAACTAAATCTCCTTTTACAAAAAAATTCATAATATCATGTGGTATTTCACTGAAAAGGAATAAAAAGTATTTAATTAATATAAACATAACACAGTAACCAGAAAATAATTTAATTATATAAGATATTATTTATAAAAATTAAGCCAAAACCATTTTCTTGTAATATGAATTTGAATGAATGAATTGATGATGATGATACAGACAATTACCATATATGATTCTGTATACTATGTAGAGGTTGGTGGTAGGATGAGTGTGTGTGGGTAATGCACCTAATTCAACTGCCAAATTTGCTTTATAAACTGTGTTTCAATTGACAAATTGAGATAAGGCAGTCAAATTACACAATATGAGGCTTGCCATCATAGTCCTTCATAATGGCACTGCATAAGTGGTAATCATAGTGCTGTTCATGTATATAGGAAATTACCACTTACCACCGGGTGAGTTGACAGCTTGTTTGTTATTCTAACTACATGAAAAAAAATATGTGTTAATTTTTTATTATCTACCACATTTTCTATGAAAATAATGCCAATAATGTTTTTGACCTAATAATTATAGATTATTATTATTGGATTTTATACCTTAAATTATTATTGCTTAGGTTTAATATTTTTGTATCTCTCCCCATTCTAAGCATAAGTATTTTGAAGTGATTTAGCAAACCAATTTTGTAAAAATAAATCTTCTTTTCGATGAATTCTGTAAACAATTTAGTTGAACTATTACACACCAATCCACTTAGTAACATGTGAAAAGTTAGAAAAATGTCTCATATCAATACAATAATATAAAATATATACATAGATCTAATTAATGTAGGTGATCTAAGGCCCAGGTTGAAGTGTATATGATTTGCCCAAGAAATGAGTGAGGGTAAAAAAAATCACTCAAACAGCATGGTCATATATGATATATGTTTGTTTTTTAGAGATTATAATTCAGTTTCATTGTATTCTACCTAATTGACCTAACACCTGAAAAGTAATTAATGTTCTATTTTCTTTATATAGAATAAATTCTATGTTTTAGAATTAACAGTAATGTCATACTGAATACAATCTATAATGTCCAGGTGTGAAGCACCAAATACCATTTTCTTCGTGGTGGCAACACCCTTCATAAAGTTTTAACAACATCATCAAACTAAGAATCAAACAAATATAGCAAAAGAAATATAAAAAATATTACCCAAATCATTACAGATATTTGATAAATCCAATTCGAGGTTTTCACTGAAACGTTTGCTCACAACACCATTAACTATGTCTTCAATAGTCACTCTCTCTTCGAAGCATTGCTTAGAAGTTTTGTCATTTAGAAGTATATCAATATTATACATATTCCTTTCGGATGGGAACATGAAATTGGAATTTATTATTTTTAGTATCAACATAAGACTGCTTGAATAAAAACTACTGATGTCACCTTGCAATGTATAATTAACTGGTATAAGAGTTGTGCCATAGAATTCACTCATAGTGTCATACAGCATTTCTGGACTCCCTGACCAATTATGCACCTAAAATATACAATTTTATACATTATTGTGTTACTAAAATATTAGTAAAATAAGGACTTAATGTACATAAATATACCTTACTTAACTACCTACTCAGATGAGGTAATCACAGGTATTCTTTATGAGTGATAAATGAAAATCAATTGGTTGCAATCCACTCTAACATGAATATACTATTTTGAAAATTAGACACTCAATCCTGAGGAGACAATAATCATCATTCCTATTAATATCCTGTAATTCTTGTCTCTGACAGGTCTATTAGTTTATACCATCTAGAATAGATACGTGAAGTTATGGTACCTTACTGGCCATTTAAATTTGTTAATATAAAAAAGAAATGTACCTATGATGTTTAATGTCACTCAATAATAAAATACGATTATATCTGTTTGCATATTTAAATGATCTTTCCTAAACTCTTTATTTACGGACTATATTTATCTTAAAATGGTAGCAGAGTATCGTGTATAATTGCAAAATCGCACGTAACGGTCGATTGCAAATTTTTTTTAAGAGTTATTAACACCAGATTATTTTCGTATACGTGGATAAAAGATTAAACTATAGTTATGACCATGGAAGGAAATACAAAGTTTCAAGTCTTACCACTAAACGAACACAACTGGGTTACATGGAAATTTCAAATAAGACTAGCTCTAAAAGGTCATGGTCTCCTACACGTTGTTGAGAAAGACTTCGTAGAAAAGGATAGAGCTACGACTGCTGAGCTTGAAAAATATGCCAAAGAAGATAGTACAGCATTTCTTATTATAACGACTAATTTGACACAAGAGAATATCATGAAGGTAATGCGTTTTGAAACAGCAAGAGAGGCTTGGCTAGAGTTGCACCGCATTTACGAAGGAGATATAGAAGATCGAGCATTTGATTTAATTATGACATTCTTTAAATTTGTAAAGGAACCTGCTGATAATATTGGCACGTATTTATCCAAACTAAGGAATGTATGGCGAGATCTCTCCCTTGAAATGGAGAAAGAAGGAGTCAAAGAACTACCAGAAATCTTTCTTATGGGTAAAGCTTTAGAAAGCTGTCCGGATGAATATTTCCAGTTTATCTCAAGTTGGAAGCTGTTAGCAAAAAAGGATCGTAGTATAGAGAAATTAACTGTTGATCTATGTTCTTACGAACGAGCATTACAATCTCAAGGGTCCCGAGCTGAAATGGAAGAAGCACTCGCGCTTACCGGAGGTAAATGCAAGTCTAAATTTCATAAAAAGGTAACTGTCAAAGACAAGTCAAAGAAATGTAGTTATTGTGGTCTGAACAATCATTTTGTTAAAGATTGTCGCAAATGGATTGCTGATGGATGTCCATTAACATTAGAAAAACCATCAACGTCAAAACAAGGTAATACTTCCTACAATAATAAATGCAAAGCTAACATTGTGGTGAATTCGTAAATGATGATGTGAAACGGATTCTACAAAAGGAAGGCATTACGCATAGATGTACTATGCCTCACACACCACAACAGAATGCAACTGAACGTGATAATAGAACAGTTATTGAGGCTGTCAGAGCTATAATGCATACTACTACAAGGGAACTACATGAAAACTTATGGGCTGAAATAACAAGTACTGTTGTTTATGTACTTAACCGTACTGGTCCTACTCATTTGGAGAAAACTCCCTACGAGTTATGGCATGGGAAAAAGCCAAGGATTAAACATTTACGAATTATTGGAAGTCATTGTTATGCACATGTACCAAAGGCGTCACGCAAAAAGCTTGACAAGAAAGCGAAAAAAGGTATTCTTATAGGTTACAATGAGGACGAAGGGTATCGCATTTGGATAGAAAACACTCTGACAGTAATGAACTCCAGAGATGTAATCTTTGAAGAAAAGACATTAAATCCTATAGATGAAAATATAATCCCTACCGAAAGTAATCATGAAGAGAAGACTGCTAAATCAGTGATCATTCCACTTCAAGTCTGTAATGATCCAACTGACTTAAGTCAAGAGCATGACGAGTCGAATGTATCGATTGATTTAACTAACGACTATACACATTCAGATACTACCGAATGCGAACATGATATTGTATCCAATGCAAACATTTTGCCACACATTGATACGAATGAACAAGATACATACGAAGATGATTTATTAAGAGAAGATACCTTATCTCAGGAAGAAATTCGTAATGAAAATCCTCGAGAGGAAAAGAGAATAATTTTAAGAGATCGATCTAAAATGAAAGCTCCTGCGAGATTTGACGAATTTGTTTTACATTGTGTAGAAAGAGTCTATAATCATGAAGAAGAACCAAAGACATTTAAAGATGCGATGAAATCTGCTGATAAAGACAAATGGCGAAAGGCTATGGATGATGAAATTAAATCCCTGAAAGAGAATCAAACATGGGACTTAGTGCCATTACCAAATGGACGTAAAGCTATATCCAGTAAATGGGTTTATAAAATCAAGCGAAACTCTGATGGGTCAACTGACAAATATAAAGCTAGACTTGTTGCTGTTGGGTACTCCCAAAAGAAAGGGATCGATTATGAAAAAACATTTAGTCCCGTCGCAAAAATGAGCACTATCAGAACACTATTAAGCATTGCTGCTCGTGATAATATGATACTCACCCAATTTGACGTCTCTACAGCATTTCTTTATGGAAGCCTAAAAGAAGAAATTTATGTCAAGCAACCTGAAGGGTATGATAATGGAACTAATAACGTATGCAAATTGAAACGTAGCCTATACGGACTGAAACAAGCTCCATTGTGCTGGAACAACTGTATTAAAGATTTCCTTATAGAACAAGGGTATGTACCTGGAGAAGATCCTTGTTTCTTCTCTATGAAGAGGGGAGAAGGTAGGCTACTATTAGCCCTTTATGTTGACGATGGCTTGATAGCTAGTACATCACAAGAGCTGACTAATGAGTTCCTTGAGGCGATAAAGAAACGGTTTAAGATAAAAATCCAAACTAACAAAAATTCTTATTATTTTCTAGGGCTTGAAATAGAAAAGGAGTCTAACTGTATTAAAGTACATCAAGGTGCATACACCAAGAAGGTATTAGAAAGATTTGGTATGCAGAACAGTAAAACTGTTGCTACACCAATAGTGAAAGAGTCTGAATTAAGAGAAGAAGATGGGGATAACACATTTCCTTACAGAGAAGCAGTTGGAGCCCTTGCATATCTTATGGTAGGAACAAGACCTGACATTTCTTATGCGATAGGTGTTGTATCCAGACACTTAGAAGCTCCTACAAAAGCAGACATTACAAGACTGAAACGAATATTTCGTTATTTAAATGGTACAAGGGATTACTATATCACATACAGCCAAGATACGCAGAAAGAATTAATCTGCTATAGCGATGCTGATCATGGTGGAGATCCTAATTCTGGAAGATCGACTTCAGGCCTGGTATGTATTTACGGAGGTCCAATATCATGGAGAAGTCAACTACAGTCGTCGGTGTCAATCTCTAGCACTGAAGCTGAAATAATAGCCGCAAGTGAAGCTGCAAGAGAAATAATATGGCTTAAACGATTTATTGAAAATATAGAGCAATCATCAAAGATTCCTGTTCTTTACTTAGACAATGAATCAGCCATAAAACTTGCATTAAATCCACCCTATGAGTTCCATAACAGAACCAAGCATATTAAGCTAAGACATTTCTTCATACGAGAAGCCATAACTGAAGGAGTTATGAAAATTGCTAAAGTTGGTACTGAATTCCAAATTGCAGATATGTTCACCAAGGCTTTATACAAACCAAGATTGGCAATGCTATGCCGGCTGATTGGTGTACATGCATAGATTCAAGATTTCTTTTTCACAGGAAAGGAACCATCACTTCAAGAGAAGATATTAGTTTATACCATCTAGAATAGATACGTGAAGTTATGGTACCTTACTGGCCATTTAAATTTGTTAATATAAAAAAGAAATGTACCTATGATGTTTAATGTCACTCAATAATAAAATACGATTATATCTGTTTGCATATTTAAATGATCTTTCCTAAACTCTTTATTTACGGACTATATTTATCTTAAAAAGGTCAAGGTAGAGAAATTTGACAAAAGTGTGAGCACAATAGATCTATGTAGGTTGCAGTGCTACAGGTCTAGCTCCAACAGGTCCAGGTACCTAGACTAAACCCAAAACCTCAATAAAATAGTGTGATGTATGATAGGATACAATAGGATGTAAAGTCAGATTTTTTTTTTTTTATGGATGATACTGGAATGGTGCACCCACCTGCGCTAACGGTTTACGCTGGCTGGGCACCAATGGAGGATGATAAAATGAGCATGAGGTCAGGTCAGTTAGCCCATCGTGACAAATTCACTAAGAATTTATCACGATGGTTTCCAGGGGGCACTGCGTGGAGGTCAACCTGACATGGTACATTGCTAGCAATGGGGTTATCAATCCACATTACTAACAATCCCTTCCCCCCCGTGTAAAGTCAGATTAGTTAGCTCAACATGGTAAAGTCGTAAGAAATTAAACACGATGATTCACGCAGGTCGAAACCTTCACGTGGGGGAGACAATATAATATGATGAACAAAAACCGCCGGTAGATAGCACTAGATATTATTAATGCTGTTTATGTAATAAATGTATAATAATTTAACAAACCATAATTTTATGGAAATAATGTTTGTAGACATCCTCTTCATTGGATAAACAGATTTGCACACGATCTATAAATTCTGATGTTACCGTGTTTCTGTTTAGGAGGAACTTACTAAAACCATACAGTTGATATTTCTGTGTGTTTATTGTAAACATTGTATTTAGTATTAATTTAAAACATTCTATTGAAGTATATAAGTATGAAGAGAAAACAAATCTAAATAATACTTAGTTATTATTTGTACATGCATACAATATTTATACTAAAAATTAAATTTAAGGAATAATTAGAATAATACTTTAAATTAACACAATTATTTTGAAAACAAAACAGAAGCATGGACTTTTTTTTCCATATTCGTCCATCTCCTTTTCAGTGATGGAACAGGCAAAGATACTTAGACCGTACAGCCTAGTCTACGTTTAAACTTCTTCATATTTGAACAAGTGATGAGGCCAAAGGCCAATTCTTATGTATGTTTATTCATTATGTTTTCATTCGTGTTCAAAATTTAAGTCTTATCCATAGTCCATATCCTTGTATCAATTATTTAAAGTTTTATCGATATCGAGGTAATGTATAAATATATAGGTATATATGTTTAAAATTAGTTAGCATGTCTTGGATGTCGCGCGTGATAATTTCCGGTTTCTTGTAAATGTTCAATAAGTTATCAATAAAGACCAAGCGTTGAATATTATAAGCGGAACATTCGAAAAATATGTGATTTAGGGTCTGACTCCTGTTATTGCACTCTTGACATGCATTTGAATCAATTATTTTCATTCGGCACAAATGACTATTGAATGTAGCGTGACCAAAACGAAGTCGTATAAGGAATCTGTAAAATTTCCGGTTTTTATAAACTCTAGATTTAGTGAACCAGGGTGAGGAAATAATATTTTTGTTAAAGGAGTAAAACCAGTTACCCTTTGTCTTTAGTGAAAGTTGCCACTGTTCAACGCATTTTTGACGAAAACTCTTGTAAACTATAGAAAGAATGTCGGAATAAGGTATGGCAACGTCCTTGACAACGCCAATGTCATTGTTGGTGATAGTTCTTGCCAGGAAATCTGCGTTTTCATTGCCAAAAACACCAATATGTGATGGTGTCCATAATAAATTAATATCATAACACTCCAATGAGAGCTCATATAATATTTGCTTAATGCTATCTATGATATAATTGGTTTTATAATGCAGTTTGCTACTTTGAAGAGGAGTTAAAACACTCATACTGTCTGTGACAATAAACCATTTTTTGCAATTGCCCCTATCATCATTTATATAACAAAGTGTATGTTGTGTATGTAACAGCAGAATCTTTGGCTATTAAAATAGCCAAAGATTCTGCTGAAAAAATACTAAATTCTTTATGTATTCTAGTTCCATGACCGGTCCTGAGAAGTATAGACTATGATATTTCCTTTACTCTTTGGTATAGACTGTAATTTTATTTTTTTTCACAATTCTTTATTCATGACCATGGATACAAGTTCTTCAGAGATAGACTTGACATTCTGATACGTTGTGACTCTGTGGTGCTGTCTGTTGTCGATTCTTTGCCTGTGGTGTATCGTGGGTGTATACTGGATTGTCTTTTGAATAATTATCAATTCATTACAATATAAAATATATTAATATTAACTAATATCAAATTGCCTGCTTGATTTGAATACTAGAACTTTTCATAGTGATAACATTTGTTTACATCAACATTAAAATTCTCATTTAATATACTAAACATGGAACCTACTTTTAACACTCTGTGTAAAATTATGCTTTTTGTTTTAATATTTTTGAGTTTATTTACACAAGTTGTTTTTGGAAACTCACCAGCGCAAAAAAAATTACAAATTGGTATTAAAAAAAGACCTTCGGAATGTCCAATCAAGAGTAAAAAGGGGGATTTGCTTCATATGCATTACACGGTACTTTTTATTTTAATTATTAAAAAACTATTGTTGAGTGATGGCCCAGTCTAAGTTCAAAATTATGATATGATAATGAAGTTCTATATATTATGTTGTGATATTTTTTATTATATTCTGCATTAAATATAAACAATAATTTAAATATTGTTTCAGGGTACACTGGACGATGGAACTGAATTTGATAGCTCGATACCACGCGGCAATCCACTTACCTTCACACTTGGTTCTGGTCAGGTCATTAAAGGTTGGGACCAGGGATTGATGGGGATGTGCGAGGGTGAACAAAGAAAACTTGTCATACCCCCAGAATTGGGATATGGAGATGCTGGAGCTCCACCTAAGATACCAAAGTCTGCTACACTTACATTCCATGTAGATCTTGTCAAAATTGAACGGAAGGATGAATTATAATTACAATTTTATAATACCATTAATTATGAAATAAAATATGTTTCATCATTTAGATGCTTTATTTGAAGATTAACTAATAAATCCTAAGGAGCACCTTTTAACTGCAAATTGTAAATATTATCTACTATATTGTTTAAGTTTTAGAATGCTTAAATAAAATTTTGGTCATTCTTTAATAACTAGCTGTTCCCGTGACTTCATCCACATGGAATTTAAATTTATTTTTCTAAAATAAAAGAATTTATTCTGAAATTAAAGTAGCCTAAGTTACTTCTTATTACATCAGCTACCTGCCAAAAAAAGTACCGTCAGAAACGGTCCACCTATTTAAGAGATTATCCTGAATAAACAGACACAAAAATTGAAAAAATGTTATTTTGATGTATTCATATGCATGTAGTAAAAAATTGTTATTTCAATATTACTAACAGACACTCTAATTTTATTTATATGTATAGATAATAAGAATGATAAGGATTATATTTAAATATTCTGTAGAAGGTTATGAAACGTAAAAACATTAATAGAGGCTTCTACATTTATACAGCTTTATCTAAGCCCAAAACAGACTATGTATATTAATATAAATTAACTAATGCACTATAAATGTATAAGGTCTTTTATTATTAAACACCGATTTGTTATATGACTTTATTATGTCAGCGGACAGACTCCACTACGTAACAGCGACAAATTTATTTATTCAAAATAGGTGCCAATATTTCGCGGGGGGGGTGGGGGGTGCCAATAGAAGGTATGTAAACAAATTCTCTAAAATTTGTTACTTAAGTTTATATACCCAAGCATATAAACTTATGTAACAAATTTTAGAGAAAGACAAATACAAAATCTGCTATGCTATCACCTAACCACCACCGCGCCACAGCCAGCTTGACTATTTTTTATCTTTTCCAATACATAAATTTAACTACATATGATTTGATAGCCATTTGAACCGGTCTGAAGTGACTGAATTTTTTTAACCCGTTTGCGAGGCCGCAGCTCCTCAATCCACCCTCGGGACCTGACCTGACCTGAGCTGATCTTCCTAGACTTCTTTATACAGACAGCTAGTTTGATATTACGCAGACTATAATCTCCCGATTTTCCAAAAATATTTGAATTTTTACGGGATTTCATATTAGTAAGGTAAAATAGTCCATATGATTAGACTGTTCGAATCAGTTATTGTACTGCATTATACATGTATGTACTATATTATTATTGTACTTTGTATTATTTGACTGTATTATAGCAATTTCTAGATAAGTTAATAATTAGTTATTGGACTAGAAAAAAATATTATTCATACATATCGACATATACATATATCGATGGACTAAAAACCATCGATTGGTATTTTACTGTCAAATATATGTCAAGTCTAGTTTGAAGTTTGTTTATGTTACTTGGCTAAATTTTACTTGTACGTTTACTAATTTTTTTTGCACATGTAACTGTTCAGTGGTCTATAATTACTATCTATATAATAAAAAAACAAATATTAGTATAATAAATAAATTACAAAGACAATTGGTGTAGTGACAATGGTTAAAGTATTATTCCTCCACCCAGATTTGGGTATCGGCGGTGCCGAGCGACTGGTACTGGATGCCGCATTGGCTTTCAAAAGGAAAGGACACGAGGTTGCTTTCTATACAAATCATCATGATGCTAGTCACTGTTTTGCGGAGACAAGAGACGGAACATTTCCAGTAACAGTTGTAGGCGACTGGTTACCGAGATCTCTATTTGGTAGATTTAAGGCGGCCTGTGCGTACGTGCGCATGGTTTATGCAGCTGTATATTTGGCTTGGTATGTTATACCCGTAGAGGAACCGACGCTTATATTTTGTGATTTAATATCCCTTTGTATTCCATTTTTGAAAATGGCCCATGGGCCATTCCGTGTCGTATTTTATTGCCATCATCCAGATAAATTGTTGACTTCTGAAGGAGGGGTCCTTAAAAAGCTGTACAGAGCACCATTGAACTGGCTGGAGGAGTTGACGACATCTCAAGCTGATAAGGTCCTAGTTAACAGTAAATTCACAGCTAGGGTTTATCAGGATGCATTTCACAAAATCAAAGATATTCCAGATATTTGTTATCCATCAATAAACACAGAGTTCTTCAAGAGCACAACACCTATACCATTGAAAGAAGTTGTCCCTGTTGGTACAAATAAGTTTTTATTCTTATCTATAAATAGGTATGAAAGGAAAAAGAATTTACAACTGATTCTAAGAGCATTTGAACACTTGAAACATATTATAAGTGAATCTGAGTGGGATCATGTGCATTTAATAATGGCTGGAGGGTTTGATCCAATAAATTTGGAAAATATGGAGCACTACATTGAATTGACTGACTTAGCAGCTGAATTAGATATTGAAGATAAAGTGACATTTATGAAGTCTCCAAAAGATGTTGAAAAGGTATCCCTTCTGTATCACTGCAAAGCATTGGTTTACAGTCCGTCTAATGAGCATTTTGGTATAGTTCCTCTGGAAGCTATGTACTACAGTAAGCCAGTGATAGCTGTAAATAATGGAGGCCCAACAGAGACAATAGTTAATGATGTTACCGGGTCCCTCTGTGAACCAAAAACTGAAGCATTTGCAACTGCTATGAGCAGATTAATATTGATCCCAGAGCTTGGTGAAAGATTGGGTGAGGCAGGACGTAAGAGGTTTGAAACTAAGTTCTCGTTTGATGCATTCACTGAACAGCTTGATGGTATATTGACTAGAGAGAGACAGTTCATATCTGAAGCAAGAGCTATAGAGTATGAACAGAAGAAACATAAATAACATAATGTTGACTCTCCAACAATATTTGATGTTGTTTGAGAGTGTACTTAACCAAAGATCTTATTGTCAATAAGAATTATTAACTTAAGTATCTTTAAGTACATTTATTCTTGCACTCTATATTCTCTACATGCCCAAAGTGTGGGCACCTACATAATTTTGCTGATTGTTTTTATTTATTGTAGTAATGTAGTGCTTTATTTTACTTTTTACTTCTATAATTATTAAGTATTACTTTTGTTAAATACATTATTTACTGATATATCATTGTGGTAATTTCAATTATTCTATGTTATTATAGAAATTAATACATTATACTATTGACAGGGTTGTATTATCTATGTCAGGTCCCCTAAGTAATATAATACATTGTCCATGTATATTTCTTAAAAGTTTTAAAAGGAGGTAACTCAATGCTCTTTTATATCTATACATAGATGGAATATTTTTTAAACAAGAGCTGATAATTTTTATATTGCTGAAAAACCCACCTATTTGAACATTATCTGCTTTTTTCAAGTTGGTGAAGAAATAACTAAGTCTAGTTTTGTTTATATAATAATAGTATAACATAAAATATGCTGTTGAACTAATTTACATTATTTATACATATGTATATTTTATCAATGGACAGCATGCATTGATACTCTGTGCTCCTAGCAAGACAAGCCCCCTAAGTAGTTGCTTAATTTAAGTTAATCTGGTCCCGAGTATTTAAACGTCTGGTGTGAAGAACCATCTACTATTTTTGGTAGGCAGTAATTTATGTGTCATATATATTAAAATTTTGCAACTTGCCAATCTTGTACATTTAGTGCTGTAGTAATAGTTGCTTTTGTATTTATTATTAAAAATTTATGATGGTCCTTTTATTAGTATCATAGTACTTTCGTAAATCATATATGTACTTATGTTAGAATAAATATTCAGTTATATATTAATTTAAATACATATGTACATGGTAAATATGTCCTTTTCTAATACTTTATCTAACACATTTACTTTATAATGTTTTGTAATGTGAATGGTTAGTAGCTAAATCTAAATGCATTATGTAAATATATAATTGTTGCTAAAATGTTGCTGTTAGTGTGTTGTTATAAATAAATTGTACTATTTTTTTTATTCCACAGGCTTTTTTTTTAAAACAGCCAACATCCCAGATTATATTAGCCCAATATCATTGTAGAATAATATACATGCACTATAGTTATAGAAATTATTTCTGTAATGTAAATTTAACTACTTTCTTCTGCATATGGTGTAGCATTTGGGCTGTTGTGAATATTTAATATTATATAATATCATCTTACATTTTATTGTTGTTTGAAGGTTAATGAGGGAGCTTGAAGTCTATTGTAGAAATGTTACTGTCATATATATTGACTTTGCAGTAACTCATCCTATGTCCATTATTATTATTTACAGTATACATACAATGGTGTTAACTGTGTAATAGTGTACAGGATAATGCAATAAGTTTAAAGCGTCACTTATTAAATGAAAAGTAAATAAACAATAATAAAATGATTTATTTATAAATATAAATTTACTCCAATACAGTCTTGTCAAATGTATTATATATGTTGTCGACTTTCTCGACGGGTAGAGGATCTATCACTTCCAACTGTAGATCATACTGTTGATCTAGCCCCATATAGCTGTCACTGATAATGTATATAGTGTAAATTACGCGACCTGAAAATAAACATTGTTACTGTTAATGTAAAGTTAGGATATTTTAACACTATTGACTGGTAACAAGATAACTCATTTTTATATAAAAAATATATCCTGTTTATTTAATTTCATTTAGTTACTATTCAAATTGTAACAATATAGCCAGTATTATTTAATGGATACAATTACCGGTCAACGAAGTGTTAAGTGATAGTACACTATTTAATAATACAATAGGTATCAAATATAATGTATAATCATATAACATACAGGACATAATCTCAAATATCCATAGAAATAATTACTGCTACAATTTAAGATATAGAAAACTTTATATAATATTAGCTTTATATATATAAGCAATATTAGTGAAAGGATCGATCACATAAAAGTATTATCAAAGCAAATTAAAGTAAAGCTATGGCTATTTTTAAAGATTAGTATTTTATTCTTAGACGAATTCAAATGATATACTAAACCATTAAATATATTTTTTACTAAATGATATTAAGCAGTTTCAGATTTTCCTTTTGCCCAATATAGCAATTTAACTCAGTCACATTAGACCGTCAATTTATCGTAAATGGTCACTCCTAAAATATCCTTTATCATTCCAATGGACTAGAGTCTAGGGGCCTCGTAGTTTGCAGTGTACGGTACATTCAAGTCAAGTTGACCTCTACGTAGTCACTCCTCAAAAGCATTGTAGTCTATTCCTGGTGAATCATCTCATACTTCAACGGTGGCCCGCCATTTTATATTATTAGCTCAAGTTGATGCAATATAAACAAATACATATAATAATAATATACTCAGGAACACTTGAAAATGTATCTTGCATAGCACCTAGAATATATTACAGTTTTTTTTAATGGATGACAATGTAACAGTACTCCCGCATGCGCTAACTGTTAACACTGACGGGGTACCAGTGGCGGATAATTAGATGAAGATGAGGTCAGGCCAGTTGGCATCGGGCAAATTGACAAGGAATATTTATCACGTTGGTTTCTAGTTATTGCGCGTGGAGGTCAACCTAACATGTTACATTATTAGCAACGGGATTATTAGTTCACATTCCTAACAATCCCCTTTCCCAAGGGGGAAAGCAAAGGCAAGCTTACGGTTGATTGTTCCCTAATATATATATATATATATATAATTACCTGTTTTTGGTGGCGTGTGGAAATCTAGATGAGTAACGTGAGCAGCCCGGGCAGCGGGGCTCCGCTTGAGTGCTAATAAATCCCCAAGGTCACGGCAGCCGAGAGTGAGGATCCAGCCCTCGTTTTTGCCGCGTGGGAACCGCGGGCAATACACGTTGCTAGGGTTACCACCGCGGCGGTTCATCTCTATTAGTAGCGTATATTCCTGATGGAGGATAATGCTTTTTTTATATATAGGCTATAAGCGGTACTAGAGAACTTATATAGATATATACTTGAATATATTTTTTTATTTATAAAATATACATAGAATACACCCAGACCAATAGAAATAATCATATTCATGAATATAAATAAAACCGCGCGATGAATCGAAGTAAGGTTTAGCACTCCGCCAAGACATGACATTAATAACTTCTTAATGTAAGTAAAGTTTCACAAACCTGGTCAGCATGTACCGGTATCCACTGGTCACTTTTGGGTGGTTGCGGGAGACGCTTATCTTGTTCACAGTCGCTATCGTACCATATCCCTCGGACAGACAACTTTATATTCAGTGTAGGGAGGTCGCAAATAACCTACGGATCAAAAATAAAAATACGCTTATATAGCTATAATAATAATACTAATAATTTTATTTCATCCGATATTTACATTTTATAATACATTGATCCCTGGTACCTAAACTAAGTAGAAACCATAATTTAATTACCAGTTCTCTCCTCTTACAATTATTGCAATTACAACATCATCATCATCGTCATCTGCTTCTTCTTTATTCCATTTATTTTATAATATGTTTTGCTCTTTAAATATTGGAATTACAAATAACTATATGTATATACAAAGAATAGAACTATAATAAAAAAAAACACTACTCTTAAGTTCTTAAAACTATTTGTTCCAAGATATTGAGATAAGAGATAACTAATGCGATGCGAGGGCCCGTTAATTTAGAAGGCTGTTTAAGTTTGAATCTGACACAAAAAACTATGTCCATTTATATTTCTTCTTGATACACCGGTGATGGATCAATGTTTACATTTGAGGACCTAATGCCATCTGCATTAGGTCTTCCGCTCATCTGTCACTTTCTATTCATATGCCCAGAAAATGTGGGAATGTATATTTTTGCGTTTATCACTTGGACAGTTTACAATATCTTTAACTCCGTATATATTGAGCTAACAAGCGTAAAGCTGCAATATTATGGCTATTAAATCAGATGTAAATATAAGTAACTTACTCTATATATCTGTTCGATTTGACTTTCTTCAAATTCTCTTCTCATATATTTTGCCAGCAGTTCATAATTCTTCATACAAACTATTTTCAATCCATTTAACATCATGCAAGGTTTATTTGTATCTTTCGTCATTTGCGTAAATATGTATAAATGATGAGAATCAATATTTGGTAATGTGGTGAGTGGTGAGTCAATGGGCCACCGTGCTTGGACGATGCTCTGCATAAGCATCTGACACGACAGACAGACGGAAAGCCAGCCGTTTTCTGCTGATGTGTCAATCATTGCCTGAAAGAAAATTTGTATATAAAAAAGCATATTGCGACCGATGCAGAAAAAAATAAAGCTTTTTTTGAGGCCAATTGATCAACGGAATATTTATATTCAATATTGTCTTGCATGAAAAAATCTGAATGCCACTTAGATCACAAATTCAATCATTATTGTAATATATATATATCTATCTAATGCTATGTAGAAGGGAATGTAGATAAATTGACAGCACATACAGGATATACGACCGTATGTCATTTACATATTTTCTTCTATGAAAATTATGACATTTGGGACACAAAATACCGTCATACATATAAAACACCATATCCTATAGAGGGAAATATAGATCATTTTCTAGCACTTGATATCTCACTGTATGCTGATAATGATTTTGATTAGAATATTCAAATACTGTTTTCCATGAGAATTCGAAAAAAAGTTGCTTGAGAAGACTACAGCACAGGACAATACATACCTGCAGTATACGTATGGTCTGATCAAGCACTGACTTAGTATCAGTCAAGTAATCCGTGTTGGGTAGTTGCACGCGCGTCATATGCGCCTGTAGGAGCAAGAACGCTTTCACATTGGACGAATCTAGCGACAACACATCCACGGGTAGTCGGAGCTGTTGCGACAATTCACTGAAAAATAAATAAATATATAATGTAGTATTAATAAAACATAAAAGATATAAGTGTAATAAAGCTATAGAGATTAGCTCTAAAATTATTGTAGCCATGAGAAGCCGAATGAGTCACTATTAAAAAATAAATAAAAACGTGGGAACATAGCGAATTTTACCAAAATAAATTAGTATATACTCCTGTACGTTTGCCTCATTATAACCTATTTCGGACGCTAAGCAGCTTGCTTTGTAAGTTGTGTTAAGGTATTTTGTTTAATTCCGCTACCGTTAGCATGTGTGACAAATAACTCTATTAAGTACTGAAATGGACACATACAAAATAACAGCTACTCCGATAAAATAAATAAGAGATATTGTAATCACCCATTAAGTACATCCTCGTTATGTCTGACGGGTAGTGTGGCGTATTCGTGCGAGTCTGCCAACGCCCTTAGCAGTTCGTCGGCATCCAGCGACGGTGCCAAATGCAAGCTGAAGTGCTCCATGGTGTGATGCGAGAGGTAGTAGTACGAGGCGATGCGTCCCATCCAAGTGCTGTGCACTGTACGCTGGTCCTGAGTATATATATCATAGTGGAGTATATTAGTGACAGACAGTCACATATTCTGACGTGTCCTTAAACTCTAGTTTTACAAAATAAGTTACAAAGTCCTCATAATATATCTGATGTGATTCGACGACGTGCTATGGATTTGTTCAGGCGTTAATTAATTTTGGGATATTAATTTCAAAATGGAGAAAGCATTTGTTTTTCTTTTATGTATGTTATGCGATAGCATTGCTCTAGTATAAACTGATATATATAATTTATTATTATAATCAAATTTAAATGGAAAAGAAGTATTAAACTTACAAATTCACAAAGATTTTTCAGTTCTTTTGTACTGAAAAATATTGGTGAATTAGCTTAAAATTAATTTTAAAATATCTTTATATATACTAAAATAAAATTAATGTGACCTAACGACTTAATTGTAATAATTTAGTACGACAGTAATCTAATCATTTATCTATAAAGTTATTTATATATCGCAATTTTTAAAAGAGATTCTGAATCTGATTGCATTTTTATGAGTCACTATCACATCATATACATGTGACTGATACACATTTCAATAATTTTGTAACGAGGTTTTTTCTTGTTTAGAAATTATACTAATTTTGTACTTCATGTGCTTTTTTAGTAAGATGGTATTTATTTTTAATTTATATTTTTATAACTCTTGCGATAAAATACACTATTGGCAATTTGAGAGGGGACATAATGGATTAATTTATGTCCCAATTCTGTTTTTGACTTCAATATCGTGAATAAGACTTCCATTTATTATATCGCAGACAAAAACATTAACATAAAAAATGATAAGTTTCTAGAGAAAAGAAACAAGGTGCATAATTAATATAAATCTAAAAGAGGATTGACATCCGAATCCTCTTGACAACAGTACCTCTTCGATCTCTACGCAGTTGGCATGAGAGAGTGCATCGAGGCTGGTCTGGACCAGGTTAGAGAGGTACCGGTTCACATCCTGCGGCTCCAAGCTTTCCAGGTTGTAATATGAGGGGTTCTTCAGCAGCCGGCGGAAGAAATACGTCCACGTCATGTAGTCTAGGATGTCCTGTTTTGTATGCACAGTACCTGTACAAATAATAATAATAATATTTACCCTGGACAATATACAGAGTGCCACCCAGTCCCTAGGTAAGTAGGGCTTGTGTTGTGTTATGATAGATAACTGACATAAATACTTACATATATTGTTTTTATAAATACATACTTAATAAATATAGAGAACACTGAGATTGATACAAACAATCATACTCATGAATACAAATGTTTATATCGTGCAAAGAAACGCACCCGTAATCATCGGAATTAAAGCGGTGTGCTATACTCCAGGTTGTTTCAATATTTTAAGCCGTTTTTATTGATTGATATGAGTCATGTACACATACATACGCGGGATATTTTACATACCTGCAACAATCTCCGCGTTCAAGTGGTCAGCAAGCACCTCCAATAGACTAGATTCCACCGGGAATGGTTCGTAGAGGAACTTTTTGTAGAAGTTTTTCTTCTGATCGTGAACTAGTACCACAGCGACACCCTCATTGTCATACTAAAACATGTAGTAATATATTTTAATATAATTGAAGTATAATTTTGAATCCTATTATATATAATATAATATAATAGGATTCAAAACAATTTTCGATATTGCTACCTTTTACTATCGCAAATTTAATTAAAAATAAAATATAATAAGGATAAATTTTATTTTCGATATAATAGGGACGTGTAAAATGAACTGGATACCAGTTGCATTTTTTAAAATCCATTTAAAGCGTATACATTCATTGAGGCACATATCAACGTACGAAATTAAAGTTTAAATTTGCAACTGTCAGTAATTCATTTTCAAAGAAACAGGCTTATTAGCGGCGATGCTATACGGATTTTCATATATTTTTAATATTATATTTTAGACATAACTAACCTGTGGTCTGCCCGCTCTGCCCATCATCTGTAGTACATCAGTGATGGGCATATCCACGTATCGCTTCTGCTTGCCGTCGAAGTACTCTGTGCCTTTAATTACGACTAAGTGAGCTGGGAAGTTCACTCCCCAAGCCAGCGTCGCTGTGCAGATTAGGACCTTGATAAATTGAAATTAATACTATATTCTATCTACAGTCGAAATTAACTTAATACAGTATTATATTTAAACTGTAAGTACATCCAAAGTAAATAATATATAAAGAGGATCTTGTTTTCATTATTTGTTTGGAACAGTTTTTTTCTGGTTTTCCAATATATATAGAAAGCTAGATTATTAGTCAGTAACAGGGGCTACTAATAAGTAATCTGGTATTTTATATAAATTACTTCAATGTAGAAATGTTTCTGTAAGCATGTGCATCCAATTAAAAACGACTCAGTTAATTCATACAATGGAATGGAAAAACAGTTATATTTTAAATTACATTATAGTCGAAATTTAGTGCGAGTCAATTTATATGCTAAACAGCTTTATTTCGAAATAAATAAAAATGTTAAATTATGAGATACCTGTATTTTCTGATTAATAAATAATTCTTCAACAGTGTTCCGGTCTCTCTCATGCAAGCCAGCGTGGTGTATGCCAATACCGAACGCGAGCGTCAGTTTCAGGTTCGATTCTCGGATGTTGGATAGAATTTGTTCCATTTCCGATTCTTGCATGTGCAACCATTGTTTCGGGTTGTCTTCAGCTGCTAGATATGCGATTAGATCGAGGGCTGTTAATCTGAAATTAATCATACATATACATATCTATATCTTACTCATTATACATTTAATAATATATTTATATAAATGTGAGTATAACAAAATTTATAAATGTCTCGAATCTAATGATTATTTATCATTTTTTACCGAGGTAAACTTCGGCTTAAGTTTTTTAAGTCGTCTGCGTGGGTACCTGTCTCCTTTTTTCAACTGCCAATCAGCTTGCTTTGGAAGTTCTTTCGGTTGAATGGTGAAATACACAGATAATTACGGTGGTATTAACATATATAAACAACATAACATATATAACATATATAAACAACATAACATATATAAACATAGGTAACCCGAAAACACACAAGAAGCGCCGGGGAATTCAGCTAGTCAATTACATTTGATTACTTAAAATTGTGCACGGAATGAATTTGTAACAGTGCATAATTTTTTTTTACATGTTTAAGGCAAATTATATACAATGGCTCGCATATGGCAGTTGTTCTAGCGTATGCTAGTTCTTTTTTTCTGTCAATGGTATTTGATGACAAGAATTGAGCAGACAGGGTACTTGTTCATCACTCCTATACCTGGTCTGACGTCGACTGGAGACGAAGACGAGAGCAGGCGCCGATGGCGAGTGCTGGCGTATGGCGTGGAACGTCGGTTTGTTCATGGATAACATTCGCGGGCAGTAATGTCTGCCTGGATGCCCTGATATATGTACCTGGTGAACACATTTAATCATATAACTTACATAATCTCTATCTGTAATTCAACAATATCTAAATTTTCTCTTTTTGTCTACCACTATCTAGTATATATATTATATATATAATATGTACTCGTGTGTAAGTTTATATATTTATGCTTATAAAATATGTTTATCTATAAGTTCACATTAAATATAGTATTTAATGTGTAATTCCATACCAAAAGTGAAGGTTTTTTATACTACATTTGCACTTTGTTTTGTATATTGTGTATGTAGTTGGTTTCTAAATAAATTATGTGAATACCTCTAATGGGACGGGTCGTACAGACGGCCTGAAGTTGTACAGCCCCATTTCGCCAATATTCAGCCAGTTGGCGAGGTCTTTCGCATTGGCGAGCGCTGTCGATAGGCCGATGATCCGTAGACGTCGTGACGTATGTGACTCGATGAAATTGGTTCTATTAAGTATTAAGATATATTTAGTGTATGTAGAACCAGTTGACGTTGTGTATGTATTAGTTAATTGTCTTTTCTTTAAATGATATGGAAAATTAAGACAATGTAGTGGAATTATTGTATTCTTATTCATCATAGTATTATGACCGATTTTCGGAAGTCAAAACTCTTGTACACTTGTATTAGGATGAAAATATCTACTTACCGAAAGTAAATTCTTCTAAATAGAAGAAATGTGTTTGTTAGTATGTACATTTTATTATTATTGTTTTTCTTTCTATCAATCTTATGGGTATCAGGCGTTCGTGTGGTCACTTATAAACTAAACAAAATAACAAGGCTGTGATAGTAAGCTGTCACAACATATGCCGAGTATGAGCCATAGAGCAAATTAATAACATACAAATATAATTTTGTGTAGTTTCATTGTAATTTTATAAATTTAATAATGTTATTAGTTGACAATATGTTTATGTTTCTCTTTCAGTTACAGAAATGTTTCTTTTCAAAAATATAAACAGGATTAGATTACCATAATTTTGTTGTATTACAGGCAAATCGTTTTTGAATTTATAGTAGCGGTTCCACTGTTATGATGATGTTAAAGAAATTCAGGATGAATAAATTTAATAAGCGCAACATTATTAATATATAAAATCTACTGACCACCACTATAAACGTAAGAACGTCTTCAAGTTCATTTACCTGTATAAGTATATGTAATTTATGACTATTAATTGCAGTTTGTCATTAACATTATTAACAGCATTTTTTTATACTATATTGTTAGCAAAGAACCATAAGGCCCATATTATCTCTATAATATTGATATTGTAAAAATTATTACCTTGAAACAATAACTTCTAAGACGGGACCCCTATCCTCACCCAGTAGATGTATTTCATCGATAACGATCAGAGCTACATCCCTGACGTAGTTCCTTGTCTGCCAGGATCGACTGATGCCGTCCCATTTTTCAGGAGTCGTGACTATAACCTGTGCGTTCTTTATTGATCGAATGTCGGGCGACACATCACCTAGGAAATTGTAATTGTAAAATAAGACAATAGGTATAATTTATACATACATACCGTCACAACTACTATCCCGATCGGGTAATCAAAAAGGATCTGCTAATATCGCCCGTCATATCAAACGTAACACTTGACATGAAAATGTTTCGCAGGGTATATTTATAATTTTTACTCCCGGGCGGAATTGGAGTGTTTAATGTAAAAATCAAAGTAGTTGAGTGACTTTATAATGATACGAAAAATACCTTATAGATAATTGGGTTAATATTTTTAAATAACGATATCAATGAAAGAAATCAGTTCTTTATAATATAATCAAGTCTACATGTATAATATATATTATATCATTGCCTTACCTTTCCTCTTATTTGGGGCCCATCTTCTACCGGTCCCTATCATGACTATATTATACTATTATGACTAATTAGTTATATATTATAAGTACCTGTCAATTCAACAACTTTCCTTCCTAGTTTCTCCTCGAGACGTACTTTCCAATCTTTTATTCGTTCTTTTACTAGTGCCTTTAACGGCGCTATGTATACAACCTGGAAATTATATTTAAATAATTATTATTTATTCAGCTATCATAACATAGCATAATACAATGTAGGTAAATATAAAATAGCTAAATAACAAGAAAACACCACTACAAAGAGTTATGCGTATAGATTTTGTTATGGACTACTATCTATTTATCATTAAGCCAGATCGCTGGCGGAGTAAGAAGTTAGGTACCTATATATATCACTATATTGACAAAAAAAATAGAAATTGTCACTATGTTGATCAAAAACTTTTGGTTCACACAGTTCATATATAAAGAGTTTTAGCTAATGACTTTGTCACATTTAATATATTTAATACAAGTGTGAATTGTGCTCCGTTATTATTATTTTCCATATTAGTAGTATTACTAAAGCGTGTCTGAATTTTCATGACTAAATATCAGAATGGATTTTAATAATTTGATGTCATGATACATGATATCTTGGGACGGACATACACATCTTTTATCTAAAATAAAAAGCACTGAAATTCGCCATGGCCTCACGGAATGGATATATACTGTTTTATTTCAAATATATATGACATAGTTGTAAATTACAGTTAGTTTTTAATATAGCGTCCATTCATTCAATTTCACACATACCTTACATCCAGGATATTCATTGAACACCCTGAACATGGCGACCTCAGCGACGATCGTCTTGCCTGAGCCAGTGGGCGCGCCGAGCAGCACGTTATTATCCGTGTGATACAAACAGTGGAATATCTGCGTCTGTATGGGGTTGAAGTGGCTGAAGTTGTACAGCATCTCGAACGATCCGTTGTTTAGTGCTGTCACAGGCAGAGGTTGAAGTTCCAGCAGATCTAAAAGTTTTATAATATATTTCAGGACAATTACCACAGCGTCACCTAGTCTCAGTCCCAAGCTAAGCAGAGCTTCTGTCATGGGTACAAGACGACTGATATAAGTATAGAATTACGATGAATAATAATAAACTTACAACGTTTTTATGCTTTAGTAAAGATGTACCTATATATATTGATGTAAGAAATTATACCCATATACCACTATACATGGAGGCATAATAGAAATTATATAATGTTGTGTATAACAAGACGTGTGGCAAGATATATACTTTATTTGAGTTGCATAACCTTAAAAACTATCAAACCGGTCTCATAATTTTATTTAAGTAAAGAAATTCATTCTTAGAAAGTTTATTATATTCTAAGAATTTGACTGCAATTTCATTTTCGAAAATATAAGAGTCGCCTATAATAAATGATCTCATGAAGTAAACTCGGGGCGGGTCGCTAGTGTGTATCATAAGTTTAACTAAATTAGAAATACCTGTGTGAGGTGGATGTGTTTCTGGCAGTATCAAATGCTGGAATGTTAGCGGCAACACACTCTCAGATCCAAGCCACCTAAACAATAAATATTTTAAAACACTGAATAGAACTATATAAAACTAGCTGACCCTCGTAACTTTGTCTGCTTTACACTTCCTTAACTTTTACTGGCTCATTTTACATAATATCTTTTTTAATTATAGCCTATGTGTTAATCTGATGTATAAGCTATATGACTATAAAGTTTCATCAAATCCGTTCAGTAGTTTTTGCGTGGAAGAATATCAAACATCCATCCATCCATCCATTCATACTCATAAACTTTAAAATATTAGTAATCATTCTAAAGAGAGGAGAGTGGACTAGTAATAAATACCTTTCCGAAGTAGCTCTGATGTAATATTGAGGGGGAAGAGGTTCAGAAATCGGGATTGTAATGATAAGTTCTTGTGGCTCCTTGGTAATAACCTAAAAACAATAGAAGATACAGTTATCCGAGGATATATTTAAGTAATAATCTAAATAGCATACCTCTATAAAAAAATAAATGATTTTCATCTAATTTACATAGAACAATATTGATTAAAAATTGTGAATTAAATATTTAACAAAATATATGGGGGAAAAGGGGATTGTTAGTAATTTGGACTGATACCCTATTGCTAGCAATAACCATGTCAGATCTCCCCCTCAAGCTGTTCTCTCTGGAAACAATGATCACAAATTCCTGGTGAATTTGTCACTCGCCGGCCACCAATGGAGGAGGATAAGATGAACATCTTATCCTACTCCATTGGTGGCCGCCCATTGCAAATCGTTAGTGCAGGCGAGTGCACCATTCCATTAATATGCATAAAAATGTATGTACATACACAATTGTTCTCGTTATAATATAAACATAAGGTTTAATGAAAAATTATTGTTTCATAATATTAGGATATCATTGGTGATACCCAATGATAGGATAGTATGTCAAAAAAGACAACAAGAAAGAAATAAAACTAATTATTTAATGATACAAAGACACAACTATGAAATACAAAAAAGAATAATACTCATACTAGATAAAATAATTATTTATAAATTAAAGTAGGTACCTGCTTTTTCGTTATAAGAAAGTATTCATGATAATACATTATATCAGTATCAGGATCTTCAACCCATATCCAAAATGCCTCGGGTGCTTTGCCATGATATTTGTCATTCCATCTGCATCGAATAAATCACGGAAATAAATAAATGAAAACAAAACATAGTGTTTGTTAACAGTCTAGTGGCCCAGGTGGTTTAGCAGTTAAGCATACCACCTTACATCCAATAGCGCGGGTTCGATTCTTCGCACTATGTAATTTTTTTGTATTAATTATTGTGTATGTTGGTGTTGGTATTTTCTATGTATATTATGTATTAAGTATTTTTACAAGTTGTCTAGTACCCATAGCTATACTATATAATAATCTCTGCTCAGCTTGGGTGTAAATGTAGTTGTGAGAATGAATTGACCACAGGTATTATTAATAAAAGAGGACATTCATTTATATTTTGATGTTGCCACTGTTACGGTTAATAAGAGACGAATGTCAAAATATACATAGAGGAAATACTCATAGTGTAGGTTAAGCGAAGAAAATGTAAACAAAGTATCCTTTCAAGAATGGATATTTTTGTCAATTTACATCATCAACCAATTCTTATAGTTACTGTATTAAGTAATAATATGTGTATCACAGTGCCTCGGTGGTCACATATTTGTATTCCCGAGTTAGATTGTTTGTATCCGTTTGGGTGTTTTCTATTAAATACTTATATCAGTTATATGCCCATAACACAAGCTCTGTTTACCTTAGGACTAGATGACATTGTGTGAATTGTTCAGGGGTATTATTAATATTGTTATCCTTCCTCTAGAATCACTCTATCTATTAAAAAAACCGCTTCAAAATCCGTTGCGTAATTTTAAAGATTTAAGCATACACAGGGACAGACAGCGACAGCGACTTTGTTTTATACTATGTAATGTAAATGAATAAAGTATGTGACTCACTTGAAATTAGGTGTAATAATAAGACGAATTCTGAGAACTGTTCGTGTTATTGGATGTAGACTCGCTTCCATTTCTAATAGTGGGAACTCATCTGCACATTTCTTTAAATGAGTAGCGTTTTTAGGGTTTCTTATCAAATCACCTATAAATAAAGATTATTATTATATTATTATTATTTTAAGACGATTGTATAACATAGGGTGATCGAGAGGTGATCGCAGTAGAATATGGCACCAAGAAGTGCCTATGCAGATGGATTAATACAAACACTACCTGGGTAGAATAAGAATGAGAGATAATAGAATACCTAATATTACTAGTTTGTATTATTCACAAATTAAAAAGAAAGTTCAAACTTTCAGCAAGCAATTTGTGAAATATTTATTGCCGTTGCACATTTTAGTTTAGAAGAACTGCTGCTACAAGAAGTTTAACTAACATTTAACTTCTTGTAGCAGCATACAAGTACTTTCTACACGTGCCACCTTTAGTCCTTGTAACTGCCCTTCCCAAAACTCGTATCGCAAGGCACGTATAACCTACTGGCAACGCAGCTCACGTGTAAATACTAAAAACATTCTCACCTATTTCTTTCCAGTCCATATCTCTAATTTGATCCGGCTTCAACATGGGATATTCAATATGTTTGAGTGTCTCGATAGTGAAACAATTGAACTGTCGCATATCACTGTAGAAATCCCAATTTTGGAGTTCCAACATCTTCGCCATCTTGAGATATAAGCCCGCCATGTATGCGTTGTTTTTGCGGAGTGTAATTTCGAATAGTGCGCGAACTATACGTACAGCATTCTGAAATTTCATTATAATCATTATATTAATACGTGAAGCAAAGTAACGCTATGGAAGAGTATGAAATTTGTCACAAAGTTTACATGGAGCAGAAGTGCAGAAACAATTTTTTTTATTAATAAAATAAATGTTACACAAACTTTCATGCACACATATGGTACATATATACATTTATAATAATTTTGTCTATGACAATAGAGCATAATGAACATTTAAAATTGAATGACGGTCCAAATTTGTAACTAGTGGTTGCCCACCACTAGTTACTATAAAATAAGCAAGTTGATTAGAATGGATGAGCTAGTAAAACCTAGAAATAACATGCCACTTTAGTTTGGGCATGTGGAAAGATCGTAAGGTTTAGCGTAACAAATTAGATGTGCAGTACGGAGATAAAATAATGTAGGTAACAGGAAACATATACAACTATCCGAATCGAAGGACCAAAGTAAGTTGATTTCAGTAAGTAGTAGTAGAATTGACATACTTTATAAATTGTTAAATAACAAAATTATTTATGCTAATTAAAGTGGTTATTGTATTAATAACAAATTTTGTATTTTATTGATAGAACATAAAAAGATATTGATCATTTATGTAAAATGTAATAGTTGTTTTTTTTATAAAGATACCTGACTGATGTAGTTTAAATCAGATTGTAAGGAGGAGCCATTAACTCGTCCGCGAGACAAGTAAGTCTGCAGCAGTATATTGATCTTCCAATGTATATCTTCAGGTGGGTCATCGATGCGCAGTTCGCAGTAGTGGTCCTTTAGGTTCCACAGTTCCGTTAACTCTTCTTTTCTGACCTGTTGGTGTGAATGAATTGGGATTGTTCAGAGATAAAGAGTAAATATTATTCATATATACATTATATCAGTCATGTCAAAGATAGAAAGGTCGATAGAATGGCGAATGCGTCCCGGCCCACATTCGCCCTCGGGCTGTATCAATAAGGCCCGCAATCAATCAATCAATGTAATTTATAACAAACGTATATTATATACTATCATATAATTAAAAAAATAAATTGTTACAATAATTTTATTTATTTTAATAAGTGCCGCCTACACAATCTAAATTTAATATATGGCCGTCTGCACAATTGAGTTTGACACCTCTGCGTGGATTGCATCTCTAGATTATTTTCATGAAAAAAAAAAGGAAAATGAAACGATTGTCACTAGTACTAAATTAGTTACAATTTATTGTAGTAGTCGTTTGAGTCGATTGGCAAACAGATCTACAGAAACTAAACAAGATGCAATTACCAAAATAAGATAATGGAGAGGGGAAAACAAAGGTATAGTTACATCAAGCAAATTAAAAAAAAATGTCGCCGGTTCAATATTTAAAGAGCATGATAGAGGATCGTGGAAAGTGACATGAGCTCCAACGACAAAAGCATGGCTTTGAAATCATGAATGAATACATAAAAAATGACAAACCTTCAATTGTTGGAAGTCGGAGCAGCGTGTAAGCATCTCCAGTACATACGCCTGCGTCATAGACTTGCGAACCATAGAATTGAACACTTCCATTGTTTCACACGTTATGTAGTAGTGACTGGCGGTCCGCCCCAGATCTATAATAATGTTAATGTCAATTGAATATAAATATATTATAATAATATAGTATAGATCTCATCATTATATCTGACGACATGTTTACGGCGGCTCTATATATGCGCATATAAAAAAAGTATTTATATCAGTTGTTCAGTATCCATCTTGGAGAAAATCCTCAAGGAGACCGGCCGAGACAGTGCACACAGTGTTATTATAATGTTACTGTACCGCATGTTTAGTACTCACCAGTTACATTTAAGTCGCCAGTACGCTCGTTATAGCGTATCATGTGGGTTTTGTCGAGTTGCATAGCAGCTGCGGTGATCAATTCACGTCTCTTTGTTTCTAACATTGGGTCGTCTTGCACGTCATTGTATGTTAACCCATATACCTAAACAAATAGATATACATACATCACTAAAAATATAATAGAATTTTCAATTTTCGAGGATTTTTTCATTTCATTAATCAGGACTATTGACCCATGCTATGCTATGTTATTATTCCATGTCAGGTTGACAACCACGTGGAATACATTATGGTTAATTCATTGTGACTTCGCCATGATGGGCTTACTGACCTGACTTTATCATCATTGACTTATATTCCGCCAGCATACACCGTTAGTGCAGGCCAGTGCAACATACTGTTATAATTCATTAAAAAGAAAAACTACACCCAGTTTGAATTTGACCGACTCCTTTTTGTAATATTTATATTTCTGACCGACTGCAATGATGGAAAAGATGTAGTTGTTACATTTCTTTAATGAGGGTGTTTGGCTTGTTCCGTGGTATGTTGGATTTATTTATATCAATTATATTTATACAGAATAACAGCAGAATGTGTTTCCTCTTATTTGTCTATTTGAAAATTTTGTTAATTACCTGAGGATTAATTCTCATTCGCACGAAGAGATACGTGTAACTGAGCCATTCCACTGCCTCATCGATATTAGTAACTGTACCAAGTGCAACCTGTAATAAAAATATATATACAACCAAAATGAGCAATGAAACATAAATTAAGTAGAATTGTATGGGTATCAATGTTGATTATGTCACTTGTGTTTGACATATTTTAATTGCTAGTAGCATGTTGATGTATAGCCTTCTTTGATAAATTTTCTAAATCGGATAAGTAGTACCAGAGATTATTCCGATCATTCAAAGTCATAATTTTTGTCTGTTTATAATATTAGTACAGATATACTTTCATACCTAGACAACAAAAAACGTACATTTACTTTAAATAATTTACACACAAGTACTTTGTCACATTGACATTATTGACGTACGTAAGTTTTAAACGTTAAGGTACGTAAGCGTTTCACTATTGATTCTAACCCACAATATTTACCTCAGCGTTTAAATTATCTGCCAGTAGGTTGATAAAGTTGCTCTCTATAGGGAATTGATTGGTCATCGATTTCAAATAATGTGTCAATTTATCATGCGTGGTGATGATGATGCCAGTTCCCGAGGTGTCGAATTGTGGACGGCCAGCGCGACCGAAGATCTGGAGTACGTCCAGAATACTGAGGTCCACGAATGTGCCGTGACTTTGGTCGTAGATTTCTGTACCCTATTGAAAGAAACGTACGGATTACATTCAAATAACATTCACACTATTTTTTGTCACAGAACGTTTTCAAATGTTTGAGTGTGGTAATTCATAATCTAAAATCATATTAAGTGGGAACCATCAGAGAAATTATTAAATTAAAAACAAAAAGATGAATTCAAAATTGGCAAAGCATCACGCGCATAAAAAATACTGCGGAATAAAAAACTGTTTCATTTTTATGGTTTAGAAAATATGACCATAATTCAACGGTATCATAGTTGGCGCGAAATATCTATGATCAAGAAAACTATAGCTTACACAGTGAATACCTATTTAAGTTAAGTTATAAAATGCATGTCACATGGTATAAACCAGAACTCTAATTATTATGTGATATTTACGTCACGTGATGCCTATTCTTAAAGGTGATGCCAAAGTGAAGGACGTACCCTAATAACAACGGCATGCGCAGGCAAGTTGACACCCCAGGCTAGGGTTGAAGTACACACCAGCACCTTTATGTAACCATCAGCAAAATACTTCTCAACCATGTTCCTAAAAACATAAATGTGAAACAATTAATATGAAATTTCTATAGATTTTTATTTAATAAAGCCTTAGCACATTATATTTACACACATAGTGTAATATTATCAGAACAATAACAATAATAAATGTTACAAAAATATATAATAAAAACATACCTATCACTTCTCAACATTCCGGCATGATGACATGCAAATCCACTTGCAAATAACTCTGCCAATTGTTTATTAGGACTTGTAGATATTGATTTTTTAGCCTTCAAAAAGCCACCGGAGTCTTCAGGCTCGAAGTGCTTGAGATGACCTTTCTTTTGGGCGAGTTCTTTCAGTATCATGGCGGTTTGGTGCGTTGCATTACGTGCGTGAACAAATACCATCACTTGGTGACCTTTTTGTACCATATCTACCGCTTTATCGTAACATATTTCATTCATTATTTGTAGCTATAAAAAAATATGTAAAATGTATTTGTAGCTATAATATAATATTTGTAGCAATTAAGAATTTTGGGAATTCCATAGCGTTTTTTAAACAAAAGATAGCCTATATCCCTGTTTGTGATATAAAATATCTTAGTGTCTAATTTTATTAAGACCCATTGAGCTATTTTAGTCATGAAACCGTAATAATCAGAAGACACTGACTTTCGCATTTACTTGGATTTATTTTTGACAAATCGAAGTAATGTTTTATGCATAAAATATAATTAATCAAAGTGGGATGTAGGATGTTTCTTTTAATGAATGAAATGAATTAATATATATATTTTTTTAAATAGGATTTAGTGGGATGGACATAGCAATTATAGCCTTCCATAAATTACGTTACATGTTTTTCGACAAAAAAATATATTGTGTGACAAAGGTCTTCGTCTTAAATTTCGTGATATCACATTTCAAAATCTAATACATGCAACAAGTATTAAAACACACAAATTTAGTTATTAACAAAAATATTATAGTTGAAATTTCGTGAAGGGGAGGTGTCTCACAAAAGCCTACCTATGACAAGCGCGCAAACAATTCAAAGATGTGATGTATCTGCGCGAAGCTGGAATTTACCTGTCTTAGATGAGCACCACCGCCACTGCCGACTTCTTTGACACCAATAAACTGTTGCTCCAAAGGTACGGGACGAAATCGTGAGTCGAAGAAGAATAAACCGATATTCGGGTTTACACGTAGAAACCTAGCATAACAGATATTGTTACATTTTCACCTTCTTTCATCCTATTGTTACCTACATCTGTTAAACTATTGCTCACTAAATACTTAAATGACAAACGAGAATGGCAATAGTGTTTTTTTTTTTTTTTATTCTTTATTGTACAAAAAACACGTGTACAAAAGGCGAGCTTAATGCCATATGGCATTCTCTACCAGCTAACCTTTAGGTACAAATAGAAAGCGTTGTAGGGCAGTAGTGGCGAAAAACTGTGACAATAAAAACTATATAGTAGATATATAAATATAATATACAACTAAAATATACATAAATAAATAAAAATACTATGTATGATATGGATACAAAAATTACATAAAATAAAATAATATATACACGATATAAATATAAATGTGATATATAATGTACATATATATAAATATATATATACATATATATAAATATATATATACATATATGAATATAATACTCATAATTCAACACCAAACAGTTATAGCTCATTCTGGCGACTCAGTAGGTAGTTAAAAAGTTTCTTTTTAAAAATGGGTTTACTCTGTGTTCTGCGCAGGTCTACAGGTAACGCATTCCAAAGGTTAATTGCCGTGACTGTGAAAGAGTTGGACATAAAGGTTGAATGATGGGAAGGAGTAAAGAGAAGGAGGTTATGAGCTGAGCGAAGGTTACGGGGATGGGAGTCGCTGATGAACCGAAATCTATCTTTCAGATAAGTAGGAGAAGAAAGGTCGAAAATAATAGAGAAGAGTGTGCAAAGGATACGCAGGTCTCTGCGGTTACGAATTGACAACCATTTAAGTTGTGAGCGAAATTTAGAGACGTGGTCATACTTTCGCAGTCCAAAAATGAACCGGATACAGTTGTTAAGGAGACGGTCCAACTTATTCAACTGATCTTGGGAGAGGTTAGTAAGACACACGTCAGCATAATCAAAATGCGGAAGTATAAGTGATTGGACGAGGAGCAATTTAGTGGAAGGTGGGAGAAAGAATTTAAACCGATATAGAACACGGAGAATACCTGTGACCCTGCGAGATATCTCCGCTACCTGCAAATGCCATTGAAGTGTCGGGTCGATAAGAAGACCTAGGTTTTTTACGCTGGGACAGAAAGGGATGATATTATTCTCAAACCGTACATACAAATTTGCCGAGTTTAATTTTGGGAGAAGTTTTGAGCTCCCTATAATTATTGCTTGGCATTTGTTCGGATTAACCGATATGCCAAAACGATGGGACCAACGAGCTATGTTGTCGAGATCAGCATTGAGACGGTCTACGGCCGCAGAGATGTCATTAATGTCCGATTGTACATAAAGTTGCAAATCATCTGCATACAGGTGGTAAGAGCAACTGAGATGGGAGACAACTAGATTAATAAATAGAGAAAAAAGGAGGGGAGAAAGAATACCGCCTTGTGGAACACCGGCGACCAACTCACACCAGTCAGATAAGTCCTGCCCGGAGCGAACGGCCTGCTGGCGACCACGAAGATAAGAAGAGAACCAATCCAGTGCTGAAGACGAAAAGTTGAGTTGAGAAAGTAGGGTTAGGATTAAGTCATGATCAACACAGTTGAAGGCGTTGGAGAAGTCAATTAGAACTAGAATAGTAAGTCGAGTGTTCTCCATACCTTCACGGAAGTCTTCAGTTACATTAAGTAACGCAGTGGTAGTACTGTGACTAGCCCGAAAACCAGACTGGAAAGGAGTAAGGAAGTTACAATTATTTATAAAGTAAGATACTTGTTTATGTACCGTAATTTCAAGAACTTTCGATAGAAAAGGCAAAATAGAGATAGGTCTGAAATGATTGGAAAGAGTTGGATTGGAGACTTTGGCAAGAGGGATAACAAATGCTTTTAGCCACAATTTGGGAAAACTGCCTGAAGATAGAGAGAAATTGACGATATGAGTAAGGATAGGAAGGATTGTGTCTAATAAGAAAAAGACCATAGTTCTACTCACTTCGTCATAGCCTTTAGCATTTGATTTTATGGATAAAACTGCCTTACGTATGTCGTCCTCAGTTACTGGAGAAAACGTGAAAGAGTCGGAAGAAAGTGCAGACATGGATTTAATTTCCTGTAAGGTGGATTGTTTTGTGATTACATTGAATGGTATTATAGAGGAAAAGTGCTTATTGAGATCGTTTGCTGGAACAGTTGAATTGGAGATGATTGGGGCTTTTCCAAAACCAAGAGAATTGAGGAATTTCCATACGTCTGTTGAAGGAGAATTTAAAACGTTATTGTGGATATGTCGGCGTTTTGCAGCCCTTACCATCTGATTGCAGCGATTTCTAGCACATTTAAAGTGCTGGAAGTTTAAAGCATTTCTTTCCCTTTTAAAAGTGCGAAAAGCCCTGTCTCTTTTTGCCATTGCTTTACGCACTTCGTCCGTAATCCATGGAGCAGGCGGACGTCGTAATTTCACGACATGAACTGGTGCATGCTTATCAAATAAACATAAGATTTCTGAGTTAAATAAGGAGATTTTAGTGTTTATGTCGGTAACATCTAACAACGGCTTCCAGTCAATAATTGCGGCATCGCGTCTAAACAATGTGCCATTGATTCTGTTAAAATTACGAACACTGGTGATGATCGGCTTTGGCTTAGATGGTTTAATTTTGTATGAAAGAAACAAGAGATCATGACGAGAAAATGCTGGAGCCGAGATTTGACCATAATCAATAACGTTATCTATAAAGGAGGTATAAGGTCCAGCCAGGAATCGTCCGTGTTGGTGTTTTGATGGGTCGGTTTTAAAGATAAAATAGACAGATCCGCAGAATTGAAGATGGACCTTAGCTTATTTGATTGCACCGAGTCATTCAACAGGTTAGTATTAAAATCACCCATGATGATGACGTGATTATAAGATGTATTAATGATATCGATGGCGTCATCAAGGTCACTGAAATAATCTGTTAATGGTGGACAGTAGACAACTCCAACAGCAACCTTCGTCCCATTAAAGTCGATCTCTATAAACAAAAGCTCTGCCGAACCCCTGTATTCAGAAGGAGATGACAAAATTATTTTATAGGGAATGTGACTACGCAAATAAATCGCGACACCGCCTCCACCCTTACCCGTGCGGTCATTTCTGATTAGTATATAACCAGGAAGGGCGTATGTGGTAGATGGCAAAGCAGGTTTTAACCACGATTCGGATATGAGTATAGCTTGGAGATTAGGCTCAGAAAAAGAGTCGAGTAAATCGGTATGATGTGCCGGCACACTTTGCGCATTAATGTGGCATATGTTAAAGAAATTAGATTGTAACAATTTATCACATAATAAGTTTTTAATACTGATGTTATCATTGAAAGAAGAGTCAGCAGAACACAAAGATAAACTACTACTATCACATGCTGAATGAAATGAGTCGTCGTCTGAGGGCATTGAGTGTATATAATAATATATATATTAAATGTATAATTGTAAAAATAAAAATATGAATTGAAATAAAAATATGCAATATAAGTAAAATATTAAAGTAATACAAATATAAAAGCCAAAAACGCTTTGTAATTTATTTACCTGCCGGCTCGCTGTAACAAATATTATTTATAAAAACACGAGACTTAGCGCATATTATTTACATATACAGACTGGTGAAACAAGTGTTGTTGTTAATATAAGTACAGAAAGTAAATAAACTGGCTGTAAAGAAAGAGAAATTCAGTTATGTTTATTGCCAGTTCTTCTCAATCGAATCTGTATACTGGACTGGACACGAACACAATTTGTATGTGTTCACTCACAAGTTTATTTTACTTATAACCCTGAAGTCATAGGACAATGATATCGATGGACTCGATGGTCTAGCTTCTAGCTTCTTCTAGGTCTAGCTTTAGCACACCACCTTACTTCCTATGAATGTGGTTCGATTCCTCTTACGGTGGAAACATTTATATTCATGAGTATGATTGTTTTCACAAAAAAAAAATAGTATTGACATCAGTTGTCTCTCTCAGTTATGATATAAGCTCTACTGAGTTTGAGACTGTGTGAATTGTTCTATTATTAGATATTATTATTGTTTAAATTTTCAACAAGCGAGTGTTGCGTATCGTCGTTAAATACTACACCTATTACAACTAATAAGTTTTAATAATTTAATATTAAAACAAAGAAATATTGACTCTATAAGACACTAGGGAATGAAACGGTGAAAAATAAAAATACCTGGCAACATCAAGGTAATTGGGCAATGTAGCAGACAAGCCGACGATGCGAATCATGTTTTGTGTCGTCTCAACCTGTCTGAGCGTTCTGGCCACTATGGCTTCTACTATGGGCCCCCTGTCGCCGTGTAGCAAGTGAACTTCATCAATGATTATCAACTTCACTATTGAAGCGAGTTCCGTATCCGCTAAAAATATAGTGCAAATAACATTATCAATAATGATAATGATAATACAGTTATTATAACTTTATCCAAAGAGTGTTATTTATTTATTTAACTTCAATGCACACAATAAGTAGGGCACACATCAAGTAGGGCAGTACATTTAGTGCACTTAACATCACGAGTCAATTTTTACCAGTCAACCATACTCATACAAGCACTTTTGAATAGTCATATTTTTTATTCTACCACTCAATCGCAACACAGATTCATCACAAGAAGAACGAAAAAGAAACTTGTATGTTGGTTTTTTGAATAGATGTTGATATTGTTACCTAATTGTTTTCTAAACGTAAAGTACTCGCTAGTTAAACTAATGGTTCTTGAGTTCGTATCTAGCCTACATAAAAAACATTGCGTATCATCAAGTTATGGGCTGACCAAAGGAAATACAGATTTTTTTTTATTTTGCATTTATGATACCATGACACCACTATGCGTTTTTACACGAAATTTAATTAAAACTGTGACCTCACGTTGTAAGACATAAATTAATTAATTAATTTTAACTCACATTTTAGTCTTTGCAATATTAATACATGCTTAATTTCGATTGCTGAATTATAGATTTTTTTTAATAATGTTGATTAAAAAAATCTATATGGAATAATAGTTGGAAAAATCTTTATAAATTCTATACTCATGGCAACACTTACTCGCTCCTTTCCTGGTGACAACATCCCATTTTTCCGGTGTAGTGACTATCATCTGGGTTTGCTGTACCTCACTTTTTGTTAGTTTCATGTCACCGGTCAACTCTCGGACAGCGATGCCGAGACCACGCAGCCGTCTTCCGAAGCTGGCGGTCATTTCGGACGCGAGAGCTTTCATTGGCGCAATATATATAATCTGGAAAAATAGAAATGGATATTGTATCTCCCCTAGTATAGTGTCGATTAATTTCAGAATTCATTCAGCCCAAATAGTGCTAGTGTGTTGTATCAATAATATTGTTTTGTTGTACGAGTACCTCCCGAAAGTGAAAAAGTATAAAAGTAGGATACACTTAAAAACCCTCTTTTGTCGCTAACCTGGTTTTTATAGCCTTAGTTTTTGATTATTAATATAATTTTAATGTTTAGAATTATAATAACAATCAAAATATATTTATTTCATTAAAGAATATCCAGATTAAATCATGGCTTATATATTCGTATTTTTATTGAGTGGTAGTTAGCTGGATTTAGTACCGATTAGGCAGAGTAGTTTGGTACCGTAGCCTCACTTTCCAATTGTCGAAGATTTGATGCCCAGACGTAAGAAATTATTTAAATTAGTCTGTGCGGTATTCCTACCTATTAGAAGCATGTTATTAAAATTATGTTACATTATGTCTGTCATAAACAAAAATATACTATGTATATTATGACAAAAACAAAATAAAATAAAAAGTAAAACAAGTGCTGTTTTTTTATTTTTAAATATCTACCTTAAATTTATTCTTCATGATGACGTCATTTTCTATATGCTGTTTTATCTGGTGCACTACAGTGAGCAGTGCTATGTTAGTTTTACCCGCCCCTGTAGGTGCACAAATGAGTAAGTTTTCATTTGTGTTGTACGCCGTTTGGAACACCACTGACTGTATTCGGTTTAACTCCTTTATGTTTTCAAATGCCATTTGACCTATCTGTAATGTAAAATGAGCTTTAAAGTTGAAAAAAGAAGACTTATTTTTATTCTGGGTGTAATTCTAACATACTTATTAAATAACTAGAATAGGAATAAACATTTATCTATAGCCTTGACTGTAAACTTCAAATTATGTTTGTAGCATCTAAAGCACATTTACTTTATTTTTCTATTTTGATACATGTTTATTTGTTATACATATATGTTATTTCTTTTTTAAAGGTATGTCTAGTTTTAATAATTTTTATAATTAACTCTCACACGAAAATATGTTGTACTATGAGTAAATACTTTCTTTTGTGTAATAAAATTAAAACAATTAAATTTGTTACACAAAAGAAAATGTCAAAGTATTTTTATCAGTTTTCTATTACTCATGCTGCAAACTAAGCTTAGTAGTCCTGTCTACTCCCAACTGGCTGTATCAGTTGGGAGTAAACAGGACTATTCATACTATATTGTTCATTTCCTCGTAAGTTACAAATAACTTTATATTCTTTTAACACCAGAATTATTTATGAATCGCTACTTGATAGTTTCATTGTACATTCTTGCTTAGAGTATAGAGTACTGTTGTTTTGAGTCTTTTATCTAATTTCGGGTGATCAAAAATTGAATAGTAATTACAAACATACCTCATCCATACTAGATATAGGAACTCGTTTGTTTCCAATTTGCAAAGGTGGTGGATCATTTTTAGGTATTACAACCTCTTCATATTCTTTCAGGTCTTTTCTGACAGCGGTTTCAGGTAACATTAATTTCAGGCCAGATACAAATCCTAGAAAGTAATCTCAAATGTGATTTCAAGAGATATACTGGTTATAAAGTTTTGTGTGTATTATTATCATAGAGCAGTAAAATAATAAAAATATGTTATCCAAAAGTGTCTTCCTAAGTAAACATAAAATATTCAAATATGACTCATATTGATTTTTATTTAAATTATTAATATTTTATTTTTCTTAATTTTTTTCTTTGTAAATTTATTATTATACTAATATATACAATTAATTAATTAAAGTAGATAAGATGTTACTTTGTACAATAAAACATTATATTTCTCTTACCAGCAGCATTCTTTGCGTCAATAGACGAATCATAAACATTTGGATATTGAACTTTAGTTTGGGAGTAAGTTATTTTTCGTAGTATTGGGTCTATATTCTTTGAAGATTTCGATGTAGAAAATGGTACCACCGGTTTCGATAGTTCAGCTATCCTATAAGAAAAGATTTATTTATAAAAATATCATATAAAGTAATTAAACTAAACTAGTTGTTACTATGGCGGCTTTGGGAGAAATATAAAATAAATGTCAAATGTTTCATTCATACAGGATTTCATTCATTGGACGCACTATTTGGGCTAATTAATGGAATTAAATTTCATTCAGTGGCTTCAGATACGTAGTGTCAGTGGTACTAGGTACTTGCATATTAGTCTTTCACTTTTAATTTTCATCCCCAATTATTTTTTTTATTTATAGGATGGTGTATGCTAATAATATAATTTATGTTCAAGACAAATTTCAGTAAGATTTGTTGACCAGTTTAGTCTTGAAAGGGTAAGAAAAAGACAGACAGACATACTTACACATTCAGAATATTACTAATATAGGTACATATTGTGAAAATTCTTTTTTAAGCATATTTAGTACTCACGATACAAGTTCAGCATTGTTTAAGAATAGATGGCGCTGTGTGATATGTTCATGGATAATTATTATGTCACATTCTGAATTAATATTAGTTTGGTACATTATATATAATTTAAATTAATTACGACAAACCTTCGAGCTCTCAATTGAGCTATATCAATTTCCGGTTCATCTTCTACATCATTTTTCTTAGAACTCCTTGCCTTCTTTTCTCCTTTTCTCACTAGTTTCGCAATCATCTTCTCCTGTTCCGAAAGTACTGACACTTGGCATAAGTATTGAGGCATTTTATTGTCAGGAAGATTTGCTGAAACTATTATTAAAGTTTATAAATATTAAGAATAAGAATAAATTTAATTATATAATTAAATAAAATAGTCAACCATCTTGCTAATCAAAAATAATAAGGCTGTGCAATTATATAGTTCTATATAGTGGTATGTGGTGGTGGTTCTATATATCTTTGTAGTACATGCATGTAAGGTTTGAAACTTACGTTCTGATAATGTAGGTTGTGGAGGCGGCGCTTTCAAGCTGTCAATAATATCCTGTCTATGTGCCAAAATTTCAAGAATGAATTCAAACTTGTCAAAGCCCAATAATTCGAAGAGATCATTCTGCAGTTCATCATTAGTTCGTGTAGAATTTAGGAATGTTATAATGGATTGTAATATATGGACGCTGGATATGCCATCACCAGTTGGATACAGTTCTTTCATTTTTATTTCCAACCATGTTTTACTAAACTAAAAAAAAATATACACAGTAAAATAAGCTATAAAGTAAGGTAAAGGTAGTATATCTATTTTTCTGCTTTTAATGATGTGTTGCATCCATGCATTAGTGTACTTCTCCAAAAGGAGTGAACTGATTTTGCTGATTGGCTGAGTTGGATCTGGTAGTTGGCCCTGTAATCAGGTATCAGGATTTGAACAGCAATATCTTCAGTCCATTTATGAATATTACTAATTTTTGTTTTGAGTGCAGTTTAAACTATGTCAAATAAGTCTTGATTGCATGCTTGCTTTCAAGCAAAGACCTACTCTAATCTTTTCTATTAATTTCTATTTCAAACGATTACCACACATTTGTGATAAAATATAAGTAATTATATTTTTAAAGTAATTTATTTATCTAGCTATCTTATATTTGATACAAACAATGATATGGTGACATATGCTGATGTATGAAACTTACCTTAGATACAGGCTTAGTTTCCTTAATGGTAGTATTCACTTTTTCAACATTTTCTTTATATTTCATAGAGAAATCATTGATAAATGCACCGGTGACAGCAGGTTTGTTCATCAGATTAGCTAATGGCTTCTTTGTTGGTTTATATGGAATATAATAGCATTGTATATTTTCACCCCATAACTTGACATTTTCCTTGTCTGCTTCATTTGTTTCCTGTTTTATGTATTCTTTCGTCTCTTCTGACAGTTCATTGGATATTGCTGTTACAATCTAAAAGAAATAAATATATAAATAGTTTACGATTGTTACTGCACCTGTCCACTCTGCTTAATGTGTCACATTATTTATGAATGAGCTGTAAGATGACTATTATTAAGTGATAAAGGTTATATAGATACGAACCTCACAGATTTTATTTGCCGTTGCATTTGTAACAGTTCCAAATGTTTGCCGAAGTAAGTTCAAATGTTTCAACATCACGATGTCATGGTCCATGAACATCCTCAAGGTCATTATGGTAGCATCATCTGACATCTCATCTGATTGGTCACTGCTTAACTGTTTGCAGCTGTCCTTCAAATTTCTTAGTTGATTTAATAAATCATCAACTTTTGTTTCATTGTTTCTGATGTAATTACAAATATCTTCAAAAGACTTGTATCTGAAATTAAATAATAGTAATAACAAAGGACAATTTACCCAGTGCCATCTAGCCCTATGCTAAGCAAAGCTTGTGTTATGGTTTCTAGAAATAATTACTAGTTCTTAAATTATTATAATTATTTGGCTTTAGAGTTGATAATGACAATTTTCCATTGCTCTTTTTGTTGATCATGAATTTACTTTTGTTTACATTACAGTATTATATTAAGTACTTAAATTAGAATTAAATTATTTATTACATTTTTTAACTGGCACTGCAATCCTTTGGTCATATAATTTTAAGTGATGACAATCATCAATATGAACAATGGACATCAAATTATAATGATATCACAGTCACATCTATGGTACCACTTACACATTGACATTCCATAGAACAGAAGTATAGAAGATATCATACTTCTACTGAATATCCATATCTCATACAAATAATGTAATCAATATGAAGAACTAAACTTTTTCACAGCCTAATCTCTCCATCCAACTGATATATATCTTAAACAAGATGTTAGGTGGCTGGAAAATGTGAGATAAAAATATCCACGTTGACAACTTTGCACAAAGTCTATATCGATAAAACAATAGTAACAGTTTAGAAGAGTGATTGTCAGAATTTAAACTAACTTACCTCTTCTGATTTCTTGGCCTGATCACTGCCGTTATAGAATCACCGGTTGGTTTTAAACATCGTGGTTTATCAAGCTGTGTGTGTGCCCTTAGGGCTCGTGTAATTCGAGGCAATTCAATCATATTGCCTAGTTTCTAAAACTTTGTGAAAAAGTCAAACTATTAGAAAAAACCCGAAATTTTCTTAAATATACATAAGCTGTTACTAATAATTAAATTCTTTAATAAAAGATGTATATTGAATTTTGTTTAAAACATATATATCTATATAAGTTTTAGAGTAAAAATAATTATTTGTAAATTAGTATAGTATACACACCAACAAAATAAAGAGCCCTATTATAAAATAACTATACAAATAAATAAAATTATAAACTCTATATTTTACATAATTGTTGTAAAATATTGTGAAATATTTAACGAAACAATAAAATATAGATTAAATTCACAGCCACCGAAGAAGGAAACTATTATTTTTTTAACTGTCAGTTTATATTTGACAGCTGATAGTTGACAGTAGTTTTTTTTCAATTTGCCATATAGGCAGGCAAAGGTTTCTAGAGCTTACTTATTTGTCGGTCCATTTAGACACTTTGGTTATTAATAAGCTGGCAGTTTGAATAATTATCTTAGCTCTTCATTTTGTAATTGCCACACAGAGTTGGATATTTTATATTCAGTTTTTCAGATAATTTTCTTTAAACTTTAAGATTGTATAGGAAGTCGCAAGTTCTTTCATTACAGTTACGTACTCTATCTGTTATTTTTTAATAACAATGAATATTAGATTTGAGATTATTACTTACCTATGTCTAATGTAATTTAATTTAAACTGAAAGGATCTAAAATGAATATATTTAAATAATTTTAATTTATTCCAAATGTCTAGGTAGGACATAAAAAGTCTTGGGGTCGTGAATCATTCGTTTAAACTTACAGAAATTTTTAATAGATGAATATAGAGTAGTGCAGTTGCCTGCGTTAATGAATCAATGGTGTATAACATGATGGGTATGGAGCTATCAGTTCCACAGACCAGGTCCAAAGTGATAAATTTAACCACAACGCTTTATAGGACCGTTACCGATATTTTTGGATTACACACTGTGATTTGTATAGGTAATCGGAATGATAAACAAGCTGACAGTCCGTCTGATAGTAAATATCGCTTATATATTTACATAAACAGCACGTTACTCACTCATGCATTGCAATATCGAAAGACTAAGATGTCCTACGTCCAGTAATTTCACTTTCTTTTCTCAACCGAAACTCAGCTTAAAAAGCAAGCTGACTGAGTCGATTTTTTTCCAAATTTAGCTCTGTAACATGATGGTGATGTCCCGGTGATCGATTTGACAAGATACTAGCTATCATTACTAACAGCCTCCTTTTCCTGAGTTTTGCAAGCCATCAACTCGAGAACTTTGTCTTCGGTTGGGTTTTCAAGCAAAGCTAACACTTTGTTAAAATGACAAAGAGTTAGCTTTGCTTGAAAATCCCATGAGTTACAAATTCCATGAGTCTATCTAACGGAAATTCGAACTAAACCTCATTATGGTTATGTATGTATGGTTATCAACAATATTCCAATCATAACTCTCTCCATAGCTAGCACTGGAACTGTCAAGCTACAGTGTCCTTGTTTAATTTCAATGTTCACTATTAAGTTTTACAAGATAGAGATCAGGTGGTGAAATGTAATACCCAGGGCGGTTAAACATTTCCGATAAGAGTCAGACGGCTCGTGTCAATGGTTTTATTCTGTTGCTACGCCTTACTCTCTTGTAAATGTGCCAATCGAACGGCTTTATCGCCACGAATCGTCTGACTTTTGTCGGCATTACATGGCTAGGTTAATACTAGTACTTCCAAATCAAAGCATCCAATCAGTTAATCAATACTATTTCGCTAATACTTACGGCGACCAACCAATACAGCAGCCTTAGTACTTTCACAAAGCTTACGAATAGTAGATATATTAGGGATTTATTTGTTAACAAACAAAAAAAACTTGACGTTCATAAGCGGCAAAAATGTCCTACACTGGGATGTATCAATAGGAAAATGAAATAAAAAAGAAGTAATTTTATTAAACTTGCTTTTATTTTAGTGAAGCAATAATTACACCTTGGTACATAATATTAAGTAATCGTATCCTTAGATATAAGTAGGTACGTTTACAACTTTATTTCATTATGTGGGTACAATACATTGAACATCATCGAATCAATTCTATAATGGAGTAAGACATGCATCGTTACAACTATGTACTTTAAATTGAATACGCGTTTTATATAACATTTATAACACACGGATATGATATTGTATTTATCACAAAACAAAAAGAAATATTTTAATTTTTTTGTAACAATATATAACTTATAATAAATAAATTATGGAACTATATATTCACGTACGTGTATAACTTTATGAATCATTCATTAACATTCGATTGTGATATTTCGACTAAGCTCTCCTAATTAATATACCTACCTAGTACTCGCACTCCAGTTCTCTTGCACCACTCCCTCAAAATATACGAATAATAATGTAATTAATGTGAATAACTAAACTAATAAAACATGTGCTAAAGTCTACGCTATGGAATGCTAGTTTTATCTAATATAATTTTAAAATCATTCGACATTATTTTATAGTTCGTTTGGATGTATTTCACAATCCCTTTGCCAGCTTTTTGACTTGATTTTCACATAACAGAGTAAATTTTAATAATATTTCGTTGTCTAAAGCGCGGCACCGGGACGGTGATAGTCCATTTCAAATGATTTTAATATTCATCCACCTCTAATTATTACGATATTAATATCTTTACAAATATCGGACATTGCGAAAAAAAAAGAAAGTTACATACTTTTTATGAGAAGTTTATGTTTTTGTTACCAATGTATAGGACTAATACAAAAATAAAAAAAGGATTTATGAATATCGTAATAATTAACAGGTAAATTTGCAGCCGTGAAGTCCAAAATCCTATAATCCATAAAACACTTTACATACATACCTACATAAAACATTCTATATGTAAAATATTTAAGTTTCTTATTGGACTTTGCGGCAGCGATATTCAGGCATTACAATTATAGACTATGCCTAATTAAGTAATATACTTTTCTGGTGTGTTTTCATTTACCTTACAGTGAATGTTAATAGTACGAGTGGAACCTCAGTTTTTGAAACACAATATTAGCTTTTGCAATTTTCTTGAGTAGCTACGGAACACGGACTCTCCAACATTGGACTAACATTTATTGTTTTGTTTTGTTTAATAAAAGGAACAATAGGATTTTATTACCTGCATCAATTTTAATATTTAAAAATTATGTAAATATTACGAAATATGTTGTAGTTAGTTATTACCTACTTATTTCAAGGTATGTTTCATAAGACACCCTTTAAGACGAAACAGCAGGTATTATAATATCTGCTGTCTTAGGATCTGGTAGGAATTTTCAATAATCTTTTGTCAGTATAATAATTTTAATCGATAATTAACCCTAGATTGTAGGCTCGTGAGAACCGATTTTAGAGGCAGAAGGAATAAAAATAATAATGGTTACGATTTTATAATGCGAACATTAAAATACCTAACGTGGTAACGGAACACATATTTTTAAGGATACTTAGATTATATGTTTATGTAACTGAAAGCATTATGTTTTACAATGTAGGTAATTAGACAATTTCCCTTAGTTCTCTATTGACAGATACTTTACTCATCAGAACATGACCTTCCTTTTTACTTGACTCCTGGCCTAAGATACCCTACAGTCGACATATAATAGAACATAATCTGCAGAGAAGAGAAGAAAAAGAGCCATTCTTATGAAATTATTATCAAGTAATGGTGCACTAAGCCGACTAATCGGCTGTACATACACAAAGTAACTATAGCAATTTTTTTTCGTTGTCATTATTTTTAATCCCCAACATAAATAGAGGTGTTGGAAGTTTGAAGTGACTTTGTTTTTGTCTGTCTGTGGCATCGCAGCTGCTAAACGAATAAACCGATTATGATCCGGTATCTTTGTTTCAAAGCTGACGTCATTAAGATGGTTCTTAGATATAGTATATGAAGATCTGTTCAGATATTTCAAAAAATCATAGGATTTTTATCTGCTGCGGTAAGAAACTTAAACGTACAATGGTTTTGTTTTGTGTCGGGTGTTACTTAAGATTTTTAATGTTATATTAAACAAGTTTCTTTTATACTTAATATTATGTTAGTATCATACATATGTTAATATACCTATTAATATTATTAATACTAGCACACGACCGGCGGTTTCGCGCAGTCGGCGCGACTACTTGAAAGTGATAGATATACGTCTTGCCCATTTAGTCTATGTGTACTATATCTATACTTATTATATATCATTTTGTTATATACATTTTACGGAAAACGGGTCTTGTTCAAATTTGTTATACCTATATACAGTCACTTAATCTTATCCTATGGTGCAGGAAACCTTACAAACCGCTTTATAGTGAATTAAAGAAATGCAATGTAAAAGTTGAAAATTAAAGACATATACGTATTTTTAAATGGCTTTTATGTAAAATAACCCTAACACGAAACCCTACTACAAAGTCATTCTATCTGATACTATTTTGTCGCTCTCTTTCAAATTAAATATATAAAAAGTTAGAAAAGGACAATAGGTAAATTAAATTAATAATTATATATATAATATTAAATAAATAGGTGGCCAGTATTATTCATCTACGAGTATGTAACTCGTAGATGAATAATATTGGTCATCGACGTCCCAGCCCAGTTTTATAATAAATAAGTTTAAGTTATTATATTAATTTAATTCGCATACTACTATAATTATGTAAATGGCTTGAGAAGTTTTAGGAATTTATGTATAACTAATTATACATAAAAAAAAATATTAATCTCCATGAATAGTATTAATAAATAAATTTTGCTCACAATCCGAATATAATAATGAAGTTATGAAGGTTACAGCATTATAGCTATAAAGAAAATAATAATGTACCTAAAAATAACGATGTATCAATAGACACAGTATCATAAGGATAGAGTATAGACATGTACATAGGTACGTGTATTGAAGAATTGGTTACATATGAGTTTTATAACTACGATAGCACTGCAAC